AAATAAGAGTTCAAATGATTTCCAACTTTCAAAAGACAGAGCTATTCCAGATTTGAATCAATCCACCACAAAGAAAAAGGTGAGAAAAGTTTTTAAAAATATAAATATTTTTATTTTTGTGTTTTTACAAGTAAATTTTTCTTAGAGCATATGAATGTTAAAGTTCTTTAAGTTTTTGGTTGTAGCTTTTTGATAAGATGTGTAGGATCAGTCTACTCAAATTAAAAGTGAAAAATTAAAATCTGAGTGTCATGCCCATGAATACAACATGACACAAAGAAATGATTTTTTACATAAGCAAAAAGGAAAACCAGATTGAAATAATCATATATTTATGTACATATTAACATTTGTCTTTACATGTGTTTGTTCTAGTCGTAAACAATCAAAGTTCAAATGTTCAACAAAATTTTCCATTTGTTAAAGGGTAGTTCATATGCCTTGGTCAATATAAAGTGTGTATATATGTGAGTGTGTCTGAAGCACATTTTAACAGAGTGTATATATGGCTGTTGACTCTGTGTGTGTATGGGTGAAGCACATTAGTAGAAACATATGTGTTTGAGTGCCAATACATGAAATCTGATTACGGTAGTTCCAAAAAGGAAATGGACATACAGATGGATGATAAGATTTACTTTTTTCCATGGCTATGAATATTTCTTTGAGTTGTGTGAATATTCCTTTGAATGGTATGTAGTTGTCACTGACTAAGGTGTTGTCATGGTAACAAGAAAATTCTGGTCAGGTGTTTACAGATGCAACCACCTGTCATCAGTGAGTGATCCACGTCCAGCTGCTGGCTGGGTCTTTGCTGTGTGTCTTTATTGCCCCTGAAATAAGTGTATATATAGTTATCCTGATTACATGATTGGCTCCAAACAAAAGCTTTTCAGTTTATACAGGATTGCACCTGGTGACCAGTTCATTTGGAGTTCAAACATACAGATACAGTTGGAAGCATAGCACATGACTGTACTGCCCAATCAAATTCCAGAAACCACTTTAATTTTTGGATCCTATTTTTTTACTGGTTTGTACAAAAGTTTTTATTTTAGTGATTCTGATCCTATCCATGAGTGGGCATTTCTTACTTATTTGTGCTTCACCTATTGGTTGTAAAATATAGGATTTTATATCCTATAACCCCCCCCCCAACAGATTGATAAATATTGAAAATATTTTTCAATATCTAACATAAGTTTTAAAGTGAGTAGGTCAATGTCTGTTTTCAATATGTTCCACATTGAATTGATTTTGTCGCCTGTCGTATTGGTTCCTGTTCGTTGGAAGGGTTTTGTTTGGAAAGGCCTCGTTTGTTTGCTATGCATGGCTGATGTCACACAAAATTTAATAGAAGCAGCATTGTGGCAAAGTTGAGCTGATGTAGAATTTCTACCAAGTGTCAAATGCATGTTTGAGAATTTTAAGAAATTTGATATTATTGTTGATTTTTATATTGTACTTGCAAATTCTTAGTGTTGAGTGACATCGTTGCAAAGTGAAAAAAATAAGATAGTGAGTTGCCTTTTGAGGTAACAGTGGTGATTAAAATTGAAATGGAGTTGTATTTTCATTTTGTTGGAAAAAAGATTTTGTGATGTCTGCTGGTATGTTTGCCAGTGTGGAAAATGATTTGCATGCTTTGGTATTGAGGGTGTAAAACATTCCGTTGTACTGTTTTTTCTAGGTAAATCCAAGTATACTGGTTTTAGTCTATCTATAGAAACTCTATCTTGTTTGCATTTTGTCACAATTGTAAAATACTTGGGTTTCCTGATGACTACTTGTAAAGGTCCTGAGTGAGTAGGGCAAGAAGGTCTTTTCGATGCATCATTTCATAAGAAAACATATTCACAGTTGTGAAGTTGTTTTGGTGTGTAAATGTCTTTTGTTCATGTTCTAGTGGGTGTGAAAACCAGATCACTCATTTATTGTTTAAAGTTTTGTACAAACTATCTTGTTGGCTGTAGGTGATTTGTTTTAGCGCAAAACTGTCCTGTAGTGTCAAGGATGTCCCAAAAACCATTTTGGATGCTGTGCATCATAAATCTTCCTTGATGAGATTTCTGATGGATAACAAAACCGGTGATAGATTTTCTAACCATGTCCTGGAATCATTATTGGCTGTTAATGATGCCTTAAGTTGCCTGTGAAAACATTCAACAAGGTCATTGGCCCAAGGATGGTATGCTGTTGTTATGTGCTTGACTCCCAATAACTTTGTGAACTCAATCCCCACATTGCAGAGTAGTGTTTTTGATTCAAATGGGACGGGGTGTTCTTTCAATTGTAAAGAAGTGTCCTCTTTTACTTTGTCTAATGTGGCATCTTTTTGTTGTCCATTTGCAATTAGGTTGAAGGTAAGGGTTTTGGAAAATAGAATGTATCATGGAGTGCGAGAGTGTATCTGCCATTATATTGTCTGAATCTGAAGTAAATTGGGATATATAATCCAGTTGTTAGGTATTTCTGGGTATATATTTTTCTGTATTCATGTATTTAGTAAGACATAAGTGAGTGGATTGTGATCACTGAAAACAGTAAAATTTTATCCTTCAATGCCTTATGGATAAGTAAATTGCAAGTAACTCCTTCAAGAAGGTACTGTATTTTTGTTGTGTGTTGTTTAATTTTATTGAGAAAAAAGATATTGGCTTTTTTGAGCCATTTTCATTCTGATATATATAGAATTGTTGAATCTTCTGAGGTGTTGGTCGTTAATGTGAGCGTTAGCATCATCAATGATATAGGAGAGTTTAGTATCTGTCTATATTTCTGAGATGAGGTATTATGTACACTCTTGTCCTCATCATTGTCATCATAGTTATCACAACGTTGTACGCTCCAGCCTTCTTCAGGTGGCGAAATGTCGAACTGAACCCTTTATTTCACTCACTGGGATAGACTGTTCTAGTTCCACATGCCATGTCTAATGCATATCAGTCATCAGTTATCTCCTGTTAATTCCCCTCTCAAAGATTTTCACTGCCTTAACCCGGTATTTGGGTCCTGTCACTGGATCTAACTAATGCCTTTATCCACTGTGCCATATGTCCTTGAGGACATCTATGTATGAATTTCTGGGTATTATAAACCTAATGTCTTCAGCAACCAATTTTTTACCAGTGCTCATATTGCAATTTTTGCTAGAGCTCTTATTGCAATTTTTGTTGTTATTATCACTTTTCTCTGGCATTTCTTATTACTAGTTCCCATACTGTATTCATTTCTATGCTTGGTCGGCTCAGGAGATTTTTGTGGCCTAGCATATGTGCTGATTCCTTAAGTTTATGAATTTTCCAATGGTGTTCTTTGTCTATGATCTCAACCTGATCCCACAGAGGGCGGTGATTTCCCTTTTCTCTCCATATTTGGTCAACCATGCCTGATTTTTCCACTAAGTTAAGGCTTCAAGAACTCCAGAAAGCTGTAACATGACATTTCAACCACCTGAAGAGGGCCAGAGAGTACAGCCGAAATGTTGTGATAAATATGGTGACAAAGATGAGGACAATAGTCTGAATAATGTAAAGAGAGTTTAGTAAAATTTGTTAATGCTTTTTTATTGTCATGAAAGTATTTTTGCATTCTTCTTCTTTTGTTTTTTGAAATGTGTTTGTAAGTGGGATCAAAATACTGGTACAACCTTGCTGCTACTTTCTTCGATTCCATGTTTGTTGATCACATGCCTCAAGAAATTTAATTTCAAAACAGCAAAATCACATTTGTTTACATTGATTTTCAATCTGAAATGTGTCAGTCTCTCGAAAACTTCTTGTATGTGGCCTTGGTGTTCTATGCTATCTCATCTAGTAATAAGAACATCATTTATATAATCAAAAGTCAATCTCTCAAAACTTTATCGGTAAGTCTCTGAAAAGTTGTGTAGTGGAGAGGAGTATGGGCTACTTGAAGGACATGTGATGCCTAATTGTAACATATGTTGAAATTCGTCTTTTGCTATTTTATATTTCTCTGGATGTAATCTGCATGGTGATGTGTGCGTAGCTTGTCCAGTTGTTGTGATATAATGTTTAGCAGTATGATGAATTTTGTCTGTATGTTTTAAAGGCATAGTAAGAGTATTTTTTTATCAATTTCTAGAGTCCATTAGCAGGTAGTAATGCAGAACTAATTCTTGTTGACTTATAGAGTGAAGTGATGCCCTTTGCCCTTAACTGTTACTGTCAATGAGAGAGTGTGTCACCATATTCACTGATAGGTCAAAATGAGATAAAAAATTTGCTCCTAGAATTGGTGTTTTCACTTGCACTTGTGTGAAAATCCATGGAAAAGATGGGTCCAACCTGGTATTAGAACAGTGTACCTAATAAAGTGACTGGTGTGTGTCTTTGACACTCAGAATGAGAAAAAAAAAGAAGGAAAAGGTAATGGGTGAGAGGATAAGGAGACAAGAATATAATGAAAAAGAGAAATAGCCACAGCATTCTACACATATGCACACAAACTCAAAAAAAATAACAATCTAACACCAATAAATAGCACATAAATTATTTTTTAACTTAGTACAAAAATGTATTGAACTACCACAGAGGGTAAACTTAGATCTTGGAGTAAGATACTCTTTTGTGAGATTATCTTTGTGCATATGTAAATTTTGTCTGTCAATGATAGATAAAAATGGAAAAAATAGGGTGACAGGGTAGTGAGGAAAAATACAGTTGACGGCTGTGTTAAATTGGCTACAAGTGTCGCAGACAAGAAAGAGAAGAAACTGATTGCAGGCATTGATTGCTACGATAAGTTTAAAGCTTTTTTTTTTCTACAAAAAATAAAAATGAGAAATTCCATAGTCAATTGCTGAAACATCCTGACGAATGGATTGAATGATTACAAAAAAGTTTGTCTGTAAATCTCTAGTTGGGGTTATGAATGTAACATCAATCAGATAAGTAACAAATTTTATATTTGTATTAATCCTATATATAGACAGTTTAAGACAAAATTATATTAAGTGATCTTTTCCTTTGTTTTAGCAACAAGTGGATAATTACTGAAGATGAGCCAATTCTCTCCCATGATATTTTGGTTTTCCTTCAAAATGTCGATATTGAAGTAAGTAAAGAATTTTCATTGCTTCAAAATAATTCTATGCTGAAGTCAAGCATAAATGTTATCTATTTTTAAAGTTTAAAAATTTCTTATTGTTGACGAATTTTTTTTGCCTTCATAAATAAATATGAAATAATCACCTTGACCTCAACTAAATCTATGATGATTGCAAAAAATCCTTATTCTTATTTTTATGATAAAAATTTTATCACATTCTTGGACATGTTGACCTTGACCAAAACATTGATCTTTCAGCTTACACCATAACAACATTTTCTCATAAAATGTGTATAAGTTTTTCAATATAATAAAAAAGTAATGAATAACAGCTAATTTTCCTTTATAATTATAAATTATTATTTCTAATTATAAATTTATTATTAGATAAAGTATTGTCAATTATTAATAATTTTTGCTGAGTATTTCTTTGATTTCAGTTATTTTTTATTGCAACTGAGACTGTCATTCTATGCTCATTAGTAAAACAACTAATATGAAAATGAAAGGAATATTAGACAAAAATTAATAATTGACAATACTTATATATAGATCCAGCCTACATTAAATTGTAATTGTTTCAATTGTTTATTAATGGGACATAATGAATATTTGTAACACTATATATTATTACTATTATTTGGCACCATGTATAAGATTATTTAAGGACTTTGTTTCTATTTAGAAATATCCTTTACTAAAATTGAGTTCTTTAGACATTAGATGTGTCCATGTTTGATCAATTCTAGAGGGTAACAATTACATTAATATAAACATCAAAATAAAATAGAAAATCAACTCAAATAATATATTTTTCCTTGAAAAAAAAAATTGTAGCATGTTCTAAATGTTATATTGTTTATTATGATATTTATATATGTATTTGCATATGTAAGCATTATTTTTCTTGCAGATTGTGTAACTCAAAAGAGATTTGTTTGGTCTATTAAGTAAAAATAAAAAAGTTTTTAAATCTTTGACATTGACTTTATTGAACAACATATTTACTGCTTTGTTCCACTATCTTTACCTATTTTTGAGCCAGCATTAATTCTCCTAAATGTTTTTTTTATCTTTCAACAAAAAACTGTTCAAGATAACTTTTGTAGTCTTCCATATAATTAAAATGCTAATCTGAAGGTGCAGTATCTTGTGAATACAAAGGGTGAGTGAAAACTTTCCAGCCAAGCTGTAACAATTGTAGTATGTGATACAGACTGGGAAATACCAGGGGTCTAAACTAAATGTATTGTCCATCAGGTACCTTTGATTTAAGAGGAGTAGTGACCCAAATATACATTGAGTTCATTTTAACAGATACAAAAATAAACTTTGTACTTGGTTGTTACCTCAGAATGTCAAAAGAGCTTGTAGTTTCAAGGGTTGACCTAGAAGGTGAACTCATAACCATCAAGTACAAAATTGGCCCTCAAAGTTTGTTGGTAGGTGTTCTAACATAAACAGGAAATGAATCTAGCTGAAGTGAGGATATACACACATAATACAACCATATGATGATGACAGGAAGTTGTATAAATGCTTGACCTATGAGAGGGATAGAGAATCCTCATATTCTTGCAAGATGATCAGACATTTGAAGAAACTCCCTGAAACCATATACCTTTGATTTGGCTGATTTGATGGAGTCCAGAAGTGAATAAGCAATTATTTTATATATGAAAAATTTAGTCTCAGATTCTTATCAAATGTTACTAACTGTTATACTGGAACATACCTATTCTATTATTAATAGACTCTCCCACCTATAATAAGTAGTAGTAGTAGCAGTCGCCAGTGGGCTCAGTGAGTTGGTGAGTCAGTCGATGTCAGACATTAAAGTATCAACCACCACAACTAGATTGCTGCGTCATTAACTATTATAACAAGTTCCTAATGTTTTGTACGTTGAACCTTTTTAGGACTGACTTAGTGAAATACAAGCCTCCACTGTGAAACTACTCTATAACACTAACATTACAGAATTTTACCTGTTTACCAAAACAATATATCTATCATTATCCTGATAGAATATATTATACCATTTCTCTTAACCAGTTCCAGATACTTTTTGTTGTTTTCTGTCATCTATAAGTCTAATTGGAAGCAATTGTTTGAATCAATTGTTGATTTTCCAGAAGGAATTCACAGTAGAGAACACTCTTCTAAATGCCACCATGCATATGCAGCATGACCATCTCAAAATGAAGACTAAACTTTGGCACAGTGAGGGTTAATTTCACTTACTCCATGATCTCCTTTAATTCTGGTTGTTGTAAAGTATCCACTTTTCACTGCACAATTTATTTTAAAAAATAGAACTAGTAAATACAATCCAGTTTGGAGATCACACATCATAATAAGTAATATGGCCATCTGATGTAAATGATCTACAACACTTGATTTGGATATTTTGAGCAGGCTGAATATCACCAATGTCATATAGCATTGATTATTCTCAAGTCGATATCAGTCTCAACTGCTCTGCTCTGCTCAAGTATTGTTCAACTTAAAATCTCAAACACAAAACTTCACAAACCATTTTTCAAACATTTGACCAATTTTTATTCCTTCTCAGTAAACTGAAAAAATCTTTTGATTTTTATTTTTGTCTGAGTCACATTTATACCTTTCATAAAATATAAAAAAAGCATAATATGTCAAAAGTGTTATTTATTTTCTTCCATATTCAAAATAAGGATAACTTAAAATGCACCAATTTTGACAAAAACCTTTTTGAAAATGCATTCCAGTTTGACAATTGTCACGAATAAAAAGTGATCTCTTTGAATGAAGTTAAAACCAAAAGCACCTAATGCAAGATGAATCCAAAAAGATATTGATTGTCTTGACTTGACCTAATGACAAACACAGAACAAACCTTATGGCTAATGTAATATTTTATATGCATGACCTATTTCAAAATAAAGTATGAATTTCACATTAGTATTTTTTAAGAAAAATACACAAGCATGTATCTACAAACAAAATTAAAAAGTATTTTTGAACACAATCATTAATCGATTTTTTGAATTTTACTCCTGATCATTTTCTAGAAGGCATTTACTAAAATTTTCAAGTTCTTATTACTTATAAAGCAGTGTTTAAAGTTAGTACAGATGATTGGGAGAGTGTTTGTATTCTTTCCCATCAAAGTGTATGGTACAGAGCATGAAAAACTGAGTTTCAATTCACACTAATGCTTTTGGGCTGAACTTTGTCCTGTTGCCAGATATTGTAACAAAATATCTTCTCATTGGCATACCATGATAACTGATGGAGAAACAAATAGAGTAATGAGCACTTGAGCAAGCCACTCTATCTTACCTGCCTAAACAGTAGCAGCAAAAGGCACTTATGTTCATTAGCAACCTTGACAGTGATTCAGTCACAGTTTTCTCATGTTGAGCAAATGGTTTAGGGAAAAAAGTTTAAAACTGCTTGTCAAATAAAATCTCATTAATCTCCAAACATTAATCCTGTGTTAACTTTCTCATCTTTCTGTTTCCTCTATTTATGTCAAGTCTTACATTTTTATCCCACACTTTTGACAAAATTTCCAAATTCTTTTTTATTTTTTATTCTGGTTTAAATTCTGAAGAAATATACTAGAATATCAATGATTCAATATATACAGTAACCAAATATAATTAAAAAAAAAAGTCATCAGCATATTCATTGTTTATTTGAAAGAAAGCTTTACCGTTATTAACACAGTGGTTTGTGTTTGCTATCTCAGCCTACAGTACAGTGCCAAATTAACATTGTTTCAAAAGTAGCAAATGCTACCTGACCTGCATTATCAAGGACCCCACATTAAATATTTTCAAGATGTCTGGTGAAATAAGTTTCTAATAATCTGGCAATGTTAATGTTTACATGTTGGGAGAGCTGCATCTTTAATTATTCATCATTTCAGGTAGTTTCATATCAAGATCGCTAAATCTACTCAAATGTCTCGTTAGGATCATTTACCTCATATTTTTTCTGGGTTTGTTTTTGTTTATAAAAGTTAACTATTTAATCATTTTATAAGCTCTATCACTATGCTAGCAAATAATTTATAATTTGATATTTATGTGTATTTTTTAAATTTAGGACCCCTTTATAACATACTACAGGACATGTACCTGTTTAATCCAGACCTGTTCTGTATAGTCTTTGTACTGGCATTGCATCATGAAAACAATTTACGATCACTTGTGACTAATCTATATTTGATCATCAAACAAAACAATGAGGTTGATTTTGTTAATGTGTTGATGTTTATTTACATCATCTTCAGAATATTATTCACTTTTATTCTTCGAATAAGATTTAAATTTTTGTTAATTTTTATAAAGATAGTAACAAAAGTCAAGAAATAAGATTTATTTGGTTAATTCTATTTTTTTAATAGTGAATTATTGACTCTATTTGCATGCAATGTTTATCCTGGTCAGTAGCTAGATGCTTGACCACTTGGGAATACCAGGTACTGTAAGCTTGGATGTGTGGTTGGTGTAATGGATAATGGATCAGAATTAGAAATGGAGTTCCAGTTCCAGTCAGGGTTTGTTATATTCACTTACGTGCAAATACCTTTGGGAAAGGTATGAATCTGCTGCTTCTTTCTCCAGCTATTAGTAAGATTTGTATCATTAAATCATTATTATCTCCAAAAAATTCTAAGAACCTAAAAATATTTTCTGGTTTTAAATAACCTGCAAAAGGGTGATGAGCTGTATAAAAACATCAATCAATCAATCTTGACTGTAATCCTCTACCTTCAGTGGCTCTTAAACTTTGTATTCGGTGAGCTTAGGATAAAAAAATGTCACTGGACCCAAAACATTCGATTGGTTGGAAATCAGATGAAAGCTAGAAAAATAAAGAAAGGCACCTTTTTTTTTTTTTAATATGTGATTTACGCAATTTTATTTTTGCCACTTTGTAGCTAAGTACTTGGTAAGAGACAGTGTTATACTAACTGCATAAATTAAGAACAAATCAGTGAAAGGAGTTTGAATGTATCTGCTCAAAGCTGAGAAAAAGTCAGAATATATCTTAACTGATCATACAGTAATAGATACCTGGGTACACATACCAAGGCTTCTGACAAATGTGAAGACACCATTTCTCTTTCAACTTTCAAATTTATTTTTTGGTAAGTGTTGCTTGAAATTCTAAAATTAATTTGTTGAGAATTACATCTCAACATTCAGTTACAAGGAACTTTCTCCTATTAAATATGTTATAAAATCTCTTGGGTTGCTATTCCAGATAATAGAGAGTCCAAGTCATATCCTAAGAGCACAGACTAAACTGGTTTTATTTACATTCTAATATCTGTATACAGTTTGTGCTGAATAAAAGACCTATTGACTTTTATCAACAATGGTCATTTAAACTTTTATTCAACATTTTAAATACATCTGTATTGAATGTGTATTGTGATTTGAGCCCATGTCACTTATCTGTTATTGCCAAATGCCTCTGGCCATGATAATTAAGGACCAGTTGTTGCTACTGCACTGTCCATGATAAGTCATAAAGATTTTCATCAAGTACTTCTGGTACACAAGTGACACTGTAAATTGAGGGACATCAAATGTCTTCTAAATTTCAGAAATGGAATGTCCAATCTGTTTGGCACTCACTGTCATGCTTCATTTGAATTCTTATAATTCATATCACCTTGCTAAACAGCCTAGCAAGTGTTTACACTAGCTCACTAGATGTCGGGGCATTTCTGTTCTACTATTACTTCTACTATTATCTTTATACTAGCAGTAGACCCCTGCGTTGCCCGGGGATATAACAGTAAGATAGATCAAGTATCGACCATCATGAAGACTGAAAAATAAAATTGACAAAGATTATTGTTTAAGGTTGACGGACGACATGTCTTAATTAGTTTTTTTTTTTTTTACGAATTGGTCAAACCCAAACTCAAAAAAAAAATATTGTTTTCAATCGTTATGAGTCTACCGATTGAATAGAATTTTATTATAAACAATTGTCTTGTAAATGGAATTTTAAAGCATTTTGAATGTAAAAATAAAAAAAAAGTGTGCAAGACAATAAGAAACACTACCTGCCAAAAAAGTGAAGTTTTGTTGAAATCGGTTGAAAAATGTAGGAAATCTGATCCCATATAAAAAACGAACACACACACACACACAAACAAACAACCTGGGTTTTATAATAAGTATAACTCGATATGAGTTGTCCCCTTTCATTCTGGTGACAGAATCGTGTTTTATCGTGTTTTTCAAATTGATTTCGTGCAAAAACAATTGTGTTTTTCCGATTTTTGGTGCTGTCAGAACCATCGCAAGGTAATTTTACGCAGTCCTGTGAAGTTTTGTTGAAATCGGTTGAAAAATGTAGGAAATCCGATCCAATATATAAACGTACAGACACACACACACACAATCTGCATTTTATAATAAGTAAGATATTGTTATGCCATGTCTTTTGGCACATTGGTGTATATAACTTTATAGTAGTTTTTTAAAACAGACATAGCAATGCCTCGTCAGCCATCATGATTTGCTATCCAAAATAAGAGACATATAAAAGTTTCACATATAATCACTTATTTGTTATTTCAGAGATTACCACTTTCACTTAGTAACAATTTATGGTATATGGCCAATAAAGAATAGCACACACCATTGATATTATCTTGAATCTTTATTATTAAATAAATCATTGACATTTATTAACTTTGGCACTAGTCCACTTGTAAAAAAAATAAGGAAAAATCTTTTGAGAAATAATTTTTGCAGATTAGATCTCATTAGATCTTCCTCAATGTGCAACATTTGTTAGAATCAAAAAAATATTGAAATATTGATATTTTTTAATCATTTTAGATGAAGGCAGGTCCTGTGTCAAATCAAATTCTGATTTTTTACAGTGTTATCAGAATATAGCTTTTCTGTGTATAAAAACAGACTTTGTCATTTTTTTTTTAAATAAAGAACATATATATATCTTAATTAAAAAACGAAAATTTAGATAAAAGTATATATCCATTTATTCCTTATTTAAGACAAATGATTATTATTTTCCAATGTTTGTCTATCTGCTTCCCCCAACACCACACCCTAAAAAAATTTTAAAAATTCAGGAAATTAAAAAAACATATGCAAATATGAATTATGTAAGAGTTTCAAACATGACATTCGTAAATAATAGATAAGTTAAATAACTCTAAAACGTCAGGAATTGATTTTACTCTGTATCAATATTATGAACAGGATCCATTCATCAAAATTAATAAAAAAAATAATCAATATTTTGATTCTGACAAATGTCAGGGCTTAAGAAAGGTCTAATTATTATTCCTCCCAAAATTTTTATTTTATTTTTTACCAGTGGACCCGTCTATTTAAGGAGTGCCTTAATTTTTGCCTAAAAAGCAACTAAAATCAAGATGAATGAAATACTTGCCAAAAATTGATATTTTTATTTTCTTTATTTAATTTTTTTTTTTTTTTTTTTTTTGCTGTCCTTGTATTTTTTTTAAAAATATGAAAACTATAAAAAGCAAGCAACCTCATGAATTCCTAAAATAACACATTATATGATCTGTGATCACAATTCATCCTGCTAATATATTTTTTACCAGCATGGCCTGTTCCTCTTTTTAGCATCCTATAGGCCAGTTGATCCGTACTTGCTGTGAAGAATACCATAGCAGCTTTGGATGTGGTACCAAAACTGTCCTTTATCTTATTGGACAATGGACAAACCTCTGCTGCAATCTAAAATTTCAGGTAAATAATTTACTCTGATGCTTATTCATATTAGAGGATTTACAAGATGACAGTATAATTCCAGGGGGAAATCTCATGTTTCTTTAAATATAAAATCTTTTACAAATTTCAGTATGTTTAGCAGAAACAAGCAAATGTCATATATTGTGAACATGATGCTAGCAGACAAAATCTATTGTAAATTGATTAGTAGCATTCCTTGTGCAACTCTGTCAGAAAATCTAGTTTGATATTTCATATTCACTGTAAAATTTAATTAATTCTCTTGGGAGATAGTTTTCAGATAACAGTACAATATGGGTTATCAGATCTCTTCCTTTTGACAGATTAGAAACATGTATTACATATGTGCAGTTATATAAACAAAAGAATGCTATTTTTCAGAATTGTTTTCTGTTCATACTATTTTAAAATATTTTTTATTTTTGCTTGATATTTTCAAAAGTCATAACTAAAAGTAAATCTGAAAAACATGCTTGTGGGTAATCAATATTCAATTATCAAAAAAGGAAAGTGTTGAAATATTGATAAATTGACAACCACGCTCTCTTGTTTTCTAAACAAATATTGATTTTTACAAGTATGTTTTTATGGTGTTTTTCATTGTTCTGTTTTAAAATTATTAAATGCATGATATTTCATACAATTATTTGCAGAAATTAACTTGATTGAAAAGAACTATTTTCATCCAAATATTGTTAGTTTAGCTTTCTGAAAAAAAAACTCTTTGTCTCTCAGTTATAAGTACAAGAAACACAATGCTTTTGACATAGGCCAACAGCTATTTTTTGTAATGATATACATCTGGATCTTTTAGGTTATTAAATTTTTAAATCTCATTGGAAATATTCTTTATTAATTCTATAAAGATAACTATTATTCTTTTACACCCTTTCTGGTAAATTCAGTGAAACAATGATCAGCAGTTTTATTGACTATATTTATAAAAAAATTTAAATGATCTTTTCTACTTTCACATTATTTATATTATAGTTTACATATTAAATAATATTAATATTTAATTTTAGCAATTTTATTGTGAGTGAACAAATTTTGGCAGTCATCACCTAGAAATCCTCAAGATAAAAAAAAACATCCTGCAACCCTGAAACTGAATCTTAAAAACACTCAGTAGCCCAAGAATTGGATGTTAAAGACAACCATCAATTACACAAGACTTGAAAGAACCTGATAGGTTTTTATTTTTAATTTGATGGGCCCCAGGTAGCTGAATGTAACAGAAAATTTTATTTAAATATACAAGTACAGTAAAATGGCCTATATGTAGATCACCAATTTTTCTAGCAATTGATGGTCTGGAACATCTTTTAATCAGGACAAAATTACAAATGCACAAACCATCTGTAGGTCTAGTGAAAACTGCAAAATTATTCCTATTCTTGTCAACAGTTTAGCCCATGTTCAAACTATGTCAAAATATGTATACAGTTTGTATGTGTCAAAATATATAATATTGAAAAGAAAAAAAATTTAACTGCAACACAAAACCTTCAAGAACTACCAAGTTATAGATAAATATTTTGGCTTTTTATATGTAACAACATAGTAATGAAATGATGATAATGATATCATCATAATGTCTCTGATGAATAACTGTTACAAAATTTTGTCACAAGATGGGATCTGTAACTTGATTATCCAGTTTTTAATGACAGTGGCATTGACAGAGGTACTCAATGAGTACTTTCCAGTTTCTGTCTAATGCAAATTCAGTTGTCCCAATTAGTTTGAGCTTAATTTGAGGTGACAATTATTGTCATCTATCTGTATATGTTTTTATATCATCATGTACACACAAAGTAACAGTCTAAAACTGAATGGACTTCCCCAACAAGGAATTGAACCTCATTCTTCCATATGATGGATAAGCGTACTTATCAATATATTACGCAGGATTTGGTGATGCAAAGTCACCACTATATGTTATTTTTGATGATGTTCACACTTAGAAGGTTCTAATTAAATCTTTGGTAACAGTTGAAAGTGACTAGTTTAAATATCAATAGTTTAATAAGTGATTTGCTATTAATGTTATCAAGATAAACTAATTGAATTTAATTTCTATGATATGACAATCTATCACAGTAATTATATTGCTTTTTTTGTTGTTATCTTTTCTTAAATATGAGGTATTGTGTTATTCATGTCCCGTGATTTCTTAATCAACAAGTTATTTTTTATATTATTTTTTAATACAAGCATAGATACAGTTTATCACACAGTGACAATATATGTTCAATTACAGAATAACTCAATAATAATAAAAATAATTAATTCTAATCTGTTTGACAGAACTTGTCTGATGTTATTCATTTTTGCTTTTCCCTCCAGGGTATTCCTATCTCAAAACTCCTCTTCCTTTTGAAGGAAAGTGTCAGAGATTGCATCACTTTCCTTGATCACTTGGTAATTCCCACAGAAAACTTTCTTGATCACAGTGAAGGAACACATAAGAAAAATAAAAAATTGGATCCTGGATATTCAATGTTCACCGTGGAAGACCCAGGAAAAGATGATATTCTGATGAACAGGAAAATCCCAAAGAAAGGGGATATAGATATGGCAGATGAAGATGTCAGCTGGTTTTTAAATGAAGCAAATCAAGAAACATTGCCTATGTCAACACTTGATCATAGAATATCTGATACTGATTTTTATGACAGAAAAAATGGTTCTTGTGAGAGTTCTGCTTATCTAAAAAATAATGCTTTAAATAAACCAACAGATTCTACCAAATCAAATTCTTCATTCTATGAAGATGAAGATTTTGCTTCTTGCTTTGATTATTTGGATGTCAATGACACCAACATATGTGAAAAAAATATCCATACTTCTAATGAAGCAAAGTTAGAAATCAGTGCCTCAAATTCTTCATTTTTGTCATCTACCCCCTCCACTGGGAAAACCTATAGGGCAGATCATTTTTTGGAATACTTGAATTCTAAATATCAACAATTCCAAAACCAAGCTTTAAGTAGCACTATTTGGTCAAGTCGGCACCTCAGTTCTTCAGCTTCTGAACATAAGTTTTTGGACTTCACAAAACATGAAGACAGAGATATTTTAAAAACATACATCACAATTTCAGGAACTAAGACTGAAAGGAAAAACATTCCAACTATGCAGCACAAAACCTTAAAGGAATGCCAAGTTATAGATTCCTTTATAGATCATTCTAAAAATCTCAATTCCAATACTGGGATCAAGGATTCTTGGACTCAAGACAAGTACAAATATTTATCAGATCTCCAAACTAAAAGTAGTTGTATAATGTCACAAATAAGCAAGAAAAAAAATGATAGAGACCATTCTTCAGGTCTTGAAAGCAATACAAATAAATTTCACAATATTGAATTCCCTGAGAGTTTAATGCGACCTGCATATTTTAAAACCAAGGACTCAAGTTATTCTCAAGATGTCTCAGGTGAAATTTCATTTCAGTGTTTAGAATCTTTAGTATATGGACTCTGTCATGGTTCTAATGAGTATATAAAAGATCTCCTCATCAAAGTTCTCAAACATCAAAATAGAAGCACAACTCAAAAAAATAAACCACTCAGGTAGGTGTGTGTACCTTTGTAAGGAACCAAATAAGAATCAAATCTAAATATTATTATTATTAGGTGTGTGCAAAAATTTCCAGTGAAAAACTGATTTTCAACTGTATATTCCATGTCTAGTTTTTTAAAAAGAGAGTAAGTATTGCACAAACCTAATAAATGAAAGAAAGGCATTGTATATATGAAGTATATATAAGTCTTATCAACCTTTCATAAATTTACAATCACCTTCCTATTAAGATTCTTCCCATAAAATATATATGTATATATCTGATCTTGTTTAGTATTTTTTTTAATCAGAATCACCCCAAGCAAGGCAGTAATGCAACTAAAACACAAAGGATTACAAGGTGTGTAAGAATTAGGAACAGAAACATTAATGATGATCAGAAAGAGAATAAAGTAATCAGGTGGACAGTAGATAGCAATTGACATTGCATTTAAATTTTTGCAGATTAAAGCTGGCTGAAAAGCATGGAGCAGGAAGGGAGTTTCACAAGTGAAAAGTGAAAGAGAAAAAATTGTTAACATAGAACTTATGGCTACGTCTAGACAGCTCAACTGTAAATTGATAAGCTCTTGACACCAGTCTAGTACTGCACTTAAATTCATAAAGTCTGGATACCATAGTGAAGAGCTCATTCAAACAGTTACCATAAAAGTATTCATGGAAAAGACATAGAGAGGCAACCTTATGGCAGTGGGAAAGTGACTAGAGTCACCTGAAGATTAGCATCAGCCATGATTATGGAAGGCAGCAAGGGGTCTCTCAGATGATTAAGAGAGAAGCTTAGTTTTGGAGGCATTAAAATCATAATAAGTCATTTTTTGCCCCAGTTAACTATGGACTTGAGGTCATTTTAGATATCAGCTGCCATTTTGACATTGTCACACTGATAAACCTTACTATCGAGGCAGGAGCAAATTGTTGAGAATTGATATTGTCAGGGAAGTCATTAATGAAAATTAAAAATAGAGTAGGACCAAGGCTGGAGCCCTTAACTTTAACATAAAAATAGTAGGAATTTTTTATTGGTAAGTACTGATTACAGAGCCATAGGTAGTTTTTATTTATTTGCTCAGAAATAAAATGTGGATCAAGTTATAAGCACAAACCTTCATTTTTCTAGATAAAATATGTTAATAGATGATCTAAAAAATATTTAATCTTAAATTCAAACTGTTTGGTCATTTCATATATCTTTTATGATATTAAGAGAGCTATTTGCTATATGAAATAAAAAGAACAGCTTTTATTTTTTAATATGTTTGGAAATTAGTTTTGTTATTGATATTAGGTTGATGCAAAAGTATCCACAACCATCTTTTGCATAATGGTGATTTTCTAAGTGTAGCTTAAATATGGCACAAGGCCAAAAGTATGGGGCTCCTATTGAGGATCGGACTCACTATTCAGTTGTAATTGATCTAGTGAGACAAGCTTGCTAACCATTACACCATGTCGAAGTGCCCAATCTTTTGCGTAATGTTAGTAAAAAATTAAAATTGTCTTGAAATTTACTCTCTTCTTTTTCAATCATTTCACCCCAAGTAAGGTAACAATGCCATTAGAATGCATGGGGTTATGGGGAATGAAAAAGAATGAGAAGATTGAAAATGGGGAGGATTAAGTGCAAAAAAGGAATGGAATTCAAGAAGGCAGAAGATGGCAATTGATATTGCATTTTAATTTTTGAAGATTTTAGTTACCAGGGAAGTAAGAAATCAGAAAGGAGTTCCACAAGTGGGAAGTGTGAGAAAAAAACTATTAGAGTAGATATGACAGTTCCATCTAGCTAGTTCAACAGTAAAATGTTGAGATGTAGTTGCCAATCTAGTACCAGACTTAAATTTATGTAGTTGAGGCACCAGGAAAAACCTCATCTGATCAGTTGCCATGAAAATATTTGTAGAACAGATTGTATAATCAGTCAATTGGAGTATGTGATTTACAATAAGAAAATTTCATAGGCTTGGAAAATGGATTCCAAATGAAGTTACAGAAACAAATATCAAATATCAGTCAGCACTTAAACACTCATCTTTCTCTTCTAGCTTGACACAGAAAAAGATCATTTTTATGAAGATAACTACTAGTGATGAAAAAAAAAAGGATTTATTATGAGAATCCAAAAAATTCAAGATGGCATGTCAAACTAAAAAGATAAACTTATTTGATCAAATTAAAAAAGATTCTTTATTATGACTTGCTGGAACTAGGTCAAATTGTTAGCGTGCAATACTTGAGTAAGCAGTTGGCTTACTTGAATGATGCATTTGAGGAGGAAGAAAGTTGTAAAGATTGATAATTTTGCAACATGTTAGTGCTAGTCCCTAGTATGTCACAAATGTAACACAGCAAATGATCATGAAACAGGAATGGGAAGTTTTTTCTCCATTTTCTGTCACTTCAGACTTCAGCAATCTACAGATTATCATTTGTTTTGCTCCATGTAAACATTCTCAGTTCAATCAAATGGTCTAACAAATTTAAAATATTAAAAAGAAAACAAAAAAAAACTTGTTAGATTAAAAACCAGAATCATTGTTTTATGATAGAATGCATTTTACTTGAAAAGTGGCACAATGCCATAGAAAATATTTTAATGATGGAATATTGATGCCACAAATTTATATAAATAAAAGATTTTTTTTTTGTACAGGGTTGCTCAGTTCTTTGGGGGCATGTATTTTAATAGCTCTAACTTTTTTCTAATTTGTTCTGATTGTCATTTCTTTTCAGAACTCAGCAAATGAAATAGTGCACAGTATTTGTTACCATAAAAGTAGAGCAGAGTGATTTAGAGATGGCTCACTTCTTGAAAGTTGCATGGTTGGTTGGTTGTTGTCAAAATTCACAAAGAGCTAGCAGATGGAGATTCTACAGCAGTAACCAAATGTAAAACATCTGTTAAGGGTTTTAATATCATCAGAACACTCAAATTTGTATGTAAATTGCAGAAGATTATCAATAAGAAGTCTAGATGGTGAATGCTGTTGGTTAGGAGCCCAAAGTTTCAAGGTACTCTGTCGGAAGAATTGTGCATGATTACCTTCAATACATGTTATACATTATGTGGTGAGGCCAATTCATGTCTACAATAACAAAAGATAATCATCTGATCTGCACAAAGCACTTGTTGAGCAAGTTGAAACATGAAGAGCTTGGAATGCTTTAGTTTTCTCTGATGAGATAAAAAATTTTCATCAAGACCAAAAGGTCAACTCAAAGAATGATATAATTATGCAGAGACACTAAGGGTGTTCTAACAGTCATGCACACAAAGTTTCCAGCAACTGTGATGGATCTTGGAGTTGTGAGCAACAAGGAAGATGTCATGCCTCTTCACTTCTTTCCTCAGCACTTTAGGGTCAATGTTGATTATAAAGTGATGTTTGAGAGCCTTGTGAAGCCTTTGGATAGAGAGCATGAGTAAAGGTAGACCACACACCTACCAACAAGACTGCACCATCTCATAAAGCAATGACAACCCAAGAAGAGATGAGTTATAATCGCCATGATTATGTCACCACAAACATATGGCTTCCTAGTTCTGGCATATAGGGCATAGTTGAGAGGGAACAATCAATGCTTCCATAACACCATAAAATCTTTGAAGTCCATCATAACTAACACAATGTCCAAAACAAATAAATATTTGTTTCAGGCATGTCAAGACTTCATATGGAAACAGTCATCAATGCTAACAGCTGATTCATTAAGTAGATGAATCAAAAAGAATCTCAAGATTATTCATGCCAATTTTTTCTAAAGCTTTCCTTTTATGACATGTGTCTTTTACTAAATCTATGCAAATGTTCTCAAAGAACTAGGCATCCTTATATGAATAAAATATTTTGTCAAAAAGATGCTGAAAATGTTTACATCAACCTAATATCAATAATACAACTAATTATATATAATATATTACTTTGCACAGGAACATAAAAAGCCATATTTTATTTTTTAAGAGAATAATAGCTTAAAGTTCAAATGTGAAATAAATAAAATTTTTGTTTTCCAATCTGTCTTGATTGATTTATTTTTTGTTTTATCAACACTTTGTGGGTTATTTAAAGCCAAAATATATTTTTGGATTGTAAGCAAATATTGCCTTAAAATTTTTTTCCAGATACAAATCCTACTATTTAATCCATAGCTGGTGAGGAAAGATAGATTTATTTGTCCTGAACAACAACCTTATTTTTTTTTGTTATGTGATATAGTCTATTGAGTATCATTTATTTATTATTACTGATCAGATTAATAGTTTAACTTGTATGTTAAAGTAAATTTTAAAAGTGTCCTTACTTCTTCATATTATAAAAATAAATTTATTTTTTATTTTAATGACTCTGCAGCTTTTATTTCTTTAATATCTGTGAATTGCTATGGTTTGTTTGAATGGTTTCCTGTTGCCTTCTCCACAATTTTGAATGTAGACCTGTTCTTCTCTTAGACACATTTCATTAAGTCCATTTACTATACTGATAATGGTTAAAACACCTGCACACCCAATTGAACATATTATCTCATTTTAAAGTCAGATTTAACTGATACATTTGTTGTAAAAATTAAAACTAGCATATTTTATGATTGGCCTATTCTAAAAATTTAATATAAGAAAACATGAAAAACTTCTAGTGATTGAATTTGATTTTCTAGTTGACTTGTCTCACTCAAATTATAAAATACTTTAAATATACATCCAAGAACATTTTACTATAAAAATAAAACATTCTGTTGACTTTATTCTATTAAGCCTCAACAAAAGTTTGACAAATTAGAAGTATATTTTTTAATTAAGTTAGAAATTTATAATAATTCATCCAAATTAAACCAAAAATCAATCTTTTTCTTATTTTTTTCAGATTACATTTAAATATGCTACATCTGTGCTGTCTCCAAGGTCCTTGTATTGACAATTCTTGCTTTCTACCAGGTGTTGTGTTGTCTGCTAAAGAGAAAAAATTGCACTTTTGGGATCTGACAAAAATGCAGAATCTTTCTCACAATGTTTTGGTATGAAATTCAGTGTTTAATTTATTACTATTTACAATCCTTTTATATGCAACTCAAACATTGTTCATAATATTGTAAATAAATCTATGCAATATTATATTTATTGAGATTTAATTTTAGATGTATTAAGAATGTCATGGATCCTAAGGAAGAGATTTGAGAAACATTAAAAAGTTATAAGTAATAAAACTGTATTGACCAGCAATAAAATATGCAGAATATTTAAAACATTGGCTAAAGACATGAAAAAAAACAAACTATCACTTTTAAGCATCCCAAAGAAAAACATTTAAGTTAGACAAAAACTGAATTAAAACTCTTTTCTCAATAATAATTTTAGTGATGAATGTATAGTTACCTTGTATAGACCTGATGGCAAGACTAGAGGTTGGGCCCTTCATGGACAAAGTCAACCAACATAACTCAGAAAATAACTTAGAGAAGGTAAAATAATGTTTTGAACTATTATTATAGGCAGTAAAATTGTAGGTCCTGTCAAAGTTGATGAGGGTATCAGGCTAAATGCAGATAATTATTGTAAGTTCTTAGGTTTTAGTTTATAAACATGAACATATACACTAAACAGTTTATTCATGCAACATATTCTTCAGAACTAACTATTGCCCTCTGTGCTAAGAAAAATTCCCAAAACATCAAACTAATAGAATCAGATATTGATCCAACAGAAAACTTGGGGTCTATCATTTAGAGAAATGTATATAAGAATGGAAAACAATATCCAAGCAAAGAATATCTCTGGGAAGCAATAAAAACTGCTGCAAATAATGTTAAAACTGAAATAGAAAAGATAACAAAATCAATGGATGAAATATTGATGAATATAGAATGTTAAGGAGTCTATATTAATGTGTAAAATAATGATTTATTCAGATAAATGGGATATTGTGTTAATATATGATTTTTTGACCTACCTCTTTTGGAATAATTTATAAATAAAAAATTATAATGTATTTAATTTGTTTGCATTATATAACCAGACAGCCCCAAATGAAGTTCTCAGTATTATTAATAAGGGTAAATATTATAATCTAAAACTGACATAATGCTCATATAAGAATATACTGAAAATTTTACCAACATAAGTTTGTTAATATCAAATTTATTGTGAAAACATTGTCTTAATAATAAAATCTGATAGTGTGTAATAAAGAGATTACATTGACAGCTGATGCTAGTGAACACTCTATTTCAGGGATTCTGTCTCAGAAAAAACATCCCCCCATAATCTTTTTGTCAAGGAGGATAACTGTTGTTGAAAAGAATTATTCTAATATTGAAAAAGAAGCTTTAGTAATTGTATGAATTTAAAATGGCCAATCATTTCTTGCTAAAGAGAAGATTACTATCTAAATATGATCACAGACCTTTAGAATTTATTTTTATAGTATTTTTAATTTTTGTAAAGAATGATAAATGATCTCACTGTTTACAATAGCTATGCTAATTTATGTTATTACTGCTTGCAGTAATTATTATTTTTTGCTATTATTAATTACAATAGTTTCTATTATTATTATTACTATTTACAGTTGATACAATCTTTATTTATTATACTATTTGTAATACATTTATCCTCTGTTATTACTGTTTGCAGTAGCTAATATGGTCTGTTATTACTTTTTACAATAACTTATATATTCTATATTATTATTATTACAGCTTGTATAACTGCAGAGGCATGGTGAAGTAATGGATAGCGGCTCAGATTGAGGAATCAGAGAGCCGAGTTCAAATTCCAGTCGAATCCATTACATTCACTTATGTGTTAATACCCTTGGGAAAAGTACGAATCCTCTTCTCCCCCCAGCTATGGGTAAATAGCAGGACAGACTGGGTTCTATAGCCTTGGATGACAACTTGTCTACCACAGAAAGAAATGGCAACCTACTGCGGGGAAAAAATCTACCTTTTCAGTTATGTATCAAAAAATACATGATTGCCTAAGCGTGTATCACGCATGGCACATAACTGATTGATAACTGCTCTGATTACAATACCTAATAAATCTATATTATCATTATTAATGTTTATAGTAGCTACCATTCTCTTTATTATAGTTTTTAATAGCTTTCCACATTATTACTATTACATGATTACTAGGTCTTTTATTGTAGCTACTAACCTCTATATTCTATAATAGCTATTACCTTCTATAATGTTAAAAATTCAGTAACAAATATTTCCGTGTTTTTCTGGTGTTATTACAAAATATATATTACATTCATATATGTAAAACTATTTTATCATTATCCTTTAAATTACCACATAACTCTAAAGAAAATTACAGAAAAATAAAACTTAACCAAAATTAAAAATACTAGCCTAAAATTATAGAAAAATAAAAATTATTTAATTGATAAATTTTCTCTGACTGCATCCTGATTTAATTAAAAAAAATCCCCAAAAACTTGATAAACTCATTTCAAGAATTGCTTGAACACTTTCATTTTTTTTTTATTATTTCAGTTTGTTTTCAAAGACTGACATCTTTTTTCATACTCAGTGTACACCTGAAAAATGTATTGTCTGAAATGTTGTTGTCACAATAAGAGTAATAAAATAATGAGATAAATTGTCTAAACAACACTTGGCATGGTAATGATTGGGCTTAAAATTACAAAAATCTGTGACACTTTAAATATGTTTCATTGCAATTGATTGTGATCTTTGACGTTGAATCAATAGATTCATTGCCTGTCATTAACTGAAATTTAATCTGGAATTGTCACTAATATATGGCATACAGTTTTACCATTGAATTAAGTGTATTAACAAGGAAGGAGATTATGTTGAAAAATATTTATTGTATAAATCTTTTGTCATCATTAGATTATGTACTTGATTTTAGAAGGATTGTTTTCTTTTTCAGCTTGTGAAGACATCTGTGATCAACAACATTCATCATGTTGGCTACCAGAAACTGGCCAAAGTTGAAAATACATGTACAAGAGAGGAATATATTTTGTCTAGGAAAATGTCAGCGAGAGACAAGTGGATCAGCCATGTTCAGTGGATACTAAAGCAAGTAAATAATGTTTGTCGTGATTTCTCCTTGAATTTTGATAACAATGTGATCTACCATTGATCTGATTAAAATGGCTTTCATGATAACTCGATCTAGGAGTTTATGCTAAGGCTAATATTTACCTATTGTATTCTCCTTATTTATTTACTTAGTTTTAACATATTTTTAAGGAAGGAGACATTTTCAAACTTGTAAAGAGAGGTGATTTGAATCCTAACATTTATTTTGTAATGATTATTTGATGATTTATTCTGTATAATCAATTGTTTTCTATTATTTAATATTTAAACACTTGTTTTAAAAATTATAAATAATAAAAATTGCTTATATATATTATTTTTATTATTTATTAATTACTTTATAATTTATAATTTAAACAGTTGTTATAATAATAATATATTTGATAATGATGTGTTTAAACTTGCATCCAGTGTAAAAAAATGTGTGTGTGTGTGTGTCAATGGTTGTGAACTTAGTTCACCTCTGGCACCAAATTGTACAGACAAGTTTTGTTGTGTTTCTGAAGCTTGCATCAGTGGGGATTTCAACTGAGAGACAGTAACTACAGTGAGTTTCAGCTAGTAACAGCACATAGGACTGAACTACTGGCAGTGCGTCTAGGGCAGGGATGATAGCACTGCTAGGCAAGGGGCTTCTTAGACTGGTCAGTGACCAGGATGGAGATTTCTCTCAATGTAATCAACTGCTATATGTTTGACCATGGCAAACCTTCAAGTCAGAAGACATTGGATGCAGTCTGACCTGGAGTGATATGTGCTCAACTGGGTCTACTTTGTCCAAGACACACTATACATGAATTAATAATTCTCCAAAAGCGAAGAGATGCAACTGAGATATGTAGAGAGAGCTGGTCAGAAGAAATACTGTTATTTTATTAAGTACTTCTCATTGGTTAAGTCAGATCACTTTTCTGTTGATGACAATTGTTATATGTTCTGCCATTCTATCTGTAGCTGAATTTTATATACATGTCATTAGCTGTCATGTTTACAGTGTTGTTATACATTAGGTGGTACAAATTAAGCCCTTGTCACCAACTATGTTGTACTTCAGATGCCTCTCATTTTTTTGTATCTATTTTAATCTTTGAATTAATTATCCACCTTAAAACTGTTTTAATGAAACCATATTGGGACTATGAATTTCGGAACAAAAATATGGCATGAAGCATGAAAGTAATTTACTTTATTGTTTAGAAATGAAGTAACTGTTATTATGCTGACTTATTTTGTCATAAATATACATTTTTATGATTAGAGAAGTAGCTAGAAAAAATTGACTATTAAAAATGTGTGGGTTAGCAACAGGGTTAGGGTTAATATTTTGTACAACAGGTTTATATCTCAAAATATCAGATTAAATTTATTGAATTTAATTATGACATTAACTTTATGTAACAACATTCTTAAATGATTTTTCATTAATTTTGTAGTATAAAATATCATAATTGCTTTTATTTTGTTTTTAATGGTAAGCTAAACTAAAATTCAACATCTTTTTTTAAATACTTTTTAGAAAGAAAAACACAAATTACTCATAAAAAATTAAATTTTATCATCAATATATTTGTTATGAATAACAATATCAAAGAAAAATATTAAATTAACTTTATGTAACAAATCATAGCATTTTTAAATAAATTTTGCAGTATCTGTCTATATCTCTGAGATGAGGTATTATGATTATTTACATTATTTGGACTGTTATCCTCATCTTCATTGCCATATTCATAGCATTTCAGCTGTTGTACATGCTGGTATTCTTCAGAACAATCTACTCCAGTGGACAAGAAAGGATCCAGTTTGAAATTCCAATCACTTGAAGAAGGCCAGAGTGTACAATGGCCAAAATGTTGTGAATATGGCAATGAAGATGAGGATAACAATCTGAATAATGTAAATAAATTTTATAGTGTAAAAACAAAATAAAATAAAAATGTCTTCAGAAGAAACATTTGTTAAAAATGATTCATAACAAAACATTGTTAAAATTAACTTTCTTATGAGAGACTTCTTATGAGAAGAAGGATTAGAAACAAATTGGATTAATAAATTAATAAAGTAAAATTAAAATGTTACATTTTGGTATAAGAAATGTGGTAAAAATTTAACATTTTTTTATTTGCTAGAAACAAATACTGATGATGCAAAAATAAAGTTGATCATCAGTGTATTTGCTTTTATAAATAAAAATTTCATAGAGAATGATCTCTAATTTAACATTTTTTATATATTTATTTATTTTTAAATTTTTACCACATTTCTTATACCAAAATGTAACATTTAACTTCCAAGTAAGACCAAGTTTCCTAAATTACATTTTTTAGTGAATTTTGCACAAAAATGTTTGTATAAATATAAAGTTTGTATAGCAAGTCCAAAGGAAATAAAATAAATAAATCTTATGCTTACTTCAATTAAAAAAGCTAAAGTTATTCCAAGTGTAAAAAGTAAATATTTCTTAAGATGACTAAAGCAGCAAACTACTGCAAACCCAAATAAAAAATATCTGCTGCCAGTGAAATGACAAGATTTGAAATAGGCTTCCAGTTCTGGTCATCAGTTATATGCCATGGTTCACTTTTATTAAATGTTCCTAAGAAATGAATGATAAGATAGAAAATTTTTTTAGTTTAGCTCAGAGAAGGAACTTTTTCAGACTAATAAGGGTTTTATTGATGAAATCAGTTCCATATCTAAAAAGATATGGTGAGAAACAGAACAAATGCCTATAAATTTAAATGTCTAATGTATCTTGATGTTTAACTTAGCCTATCTCATGCTACTTTTTTTTTCACTTTATTTTTTCTCATTATTGTTTGTAATTTTACCATGTTGTAATTTTGTGAAAAAAAGAGATATGTTGTATTTTAGGTTATCTTTGGGGATTGATGCACTTTAAATACATTTTCATCTTAATAATTTACTTTCTCTCTTAATTAAATCTACATTTTTTAAATTACCTATTACAATTAAATAATGCATTGAGTGTATTGTTTTATAAAAGATAACTTTTATGTTGATGTAATCTTTTATTTAAATTCCTACATATTTCACCTATGTATTTTTTACACTTCATTTTGTAAATTCTTGCTTCAACTTTTAGGTTATTATTATTTTATTTTCTATTAATTAAATCTCTTGTTTTTATAGTAGTTGTAACAAATTTTATATTAAGTTTAGATAAATTCTTTTCAATTGTAGTCTTATTGAATGGTAAGTAATATTGTTCTTATAAATAGACTGAAAAAAATATCCCACAAAATACATAGATAAGATCTTTTACAAAACAATACTCTCTATGCATTAGTTATCCATTGTAATTGGTCTGATGATAATTTTGACATAATGTAGTTTTGATCAGAAGTGAAAGTAATTTATTATGTTGAAATATTGAAACTGCACTAATTTTTGTAATCTTCTACAGTAAATTTATCTCCAGAATCATACAACATATCTCCCTTTTTTACACAGTTACTACTAATACAATGTGGTATAATTAAAATCAATAAAGATAAAGCCAAAAAAAATAAACGGCAGAATGAAATAGGCTATGTCAAACATCTAAATACATTAGACTTCAAAATTTAAATTTAAAAACAGAGCATCTCTGTATTTCAATGTAAACTGCACCCAATGTTTGTTGGATTTCTGCCCCAACCATTTTATATATAAGACTGATACATCACTAAGAAGTTTATTTCTGTTTTTTCATCCATTTACCAACTATTAGTCTGGTATGTAGATATTTTATGTCACGTCTTTAATGTTCTCCAAAGGTGCAGTATCTTCAGATTTAAATTGGGGTGGGGGTTACTTACTTCTCCCTATAAAGGAAAATATAATGTTCCTTGTCCATTAGTGGGAATGCGACACTTCTGAATCCAACATGGTGATAACCTGACATGCACATGGAACTCATGATTTAAATTCAAACAATCCTTGCTGTTTTCGGGCAGTTAATAAATAAAAGTTATTTTATTATATGTTAAAATATACTTGTCTTTTATTTTTATTTGTTTATCTCAACAACCTGAGATATAACATGAATAGAAAACTATTACAGTTTTTTTAATCATTGTTTTAGTTGAAGGTGACTATTCTTGTTGCCACTGGTAAAGTTGACAAAAACTTGGTGGAAACTTTGAGTTGCTGTGGGATTCTGGTCTTTGAAAATACTGAACAAACTGCTGTTGAAGCACTGGCCAGCTTGAATGAAAAAAGCAGAATTGAACCAGTTGTTTACATTACAGATGCTACACAGGTAAGTTAATATTTTCATTAATACTCTGGATTTTATGTGTAGATATTTACTAAACTTAGCTTAATCTGTTTACAAGAGCAAATAATGAGTAGGAAGTTAGTCTTATACTAATCTTCTCAATGTAAAAATGATCTGACTACCTAGAAAATCAACATTAATAATCCTGGCTTGTTCCTAGGCTCAATCATTAGACTGTTCCAACCACTAAGCAGGCTCATAAAATATTTCACAAGTGATGGGAGTGCTATGCGAGAATGGGAATATTTCCTAATTCATTCCCCCATTATAGGTATTACTATATCCATGATATAGTAACATCTTAATACACGGACAGAACAGTGTAACTGGAGGAAAAGGAATAACAAACATGCTTTATTTTCAGAGTTTTTTATACCACTAAAGTTATATATAAATATTTACACTTGACCCAGACAGAAACTATAACACATGTATACAACAACAAGCAGTGTGAATATGATGAAAAGTTAAAGGGTCTAATTGTAATAATTCCCAATGAGAATTCAAGCTGCTGGAGGATTCTTATATGTTTCTGGAGAAGCAATATTGATATTTCACAATGGAAATTTGAGTGAGCCAAATTTATCTTTTATGGACGTATTTAACAATAGGAAAACTGCGAGTCATGAGTATTTTCCAGTGAGAATGTATGCCAGAGATAGTTTTTATAATTTTAGTAGGCCAGATTTATCTTCTATATTTCTGGTAAGGACATATTTCCCAATGCGAAAATGGTGCTATAGGTTTAGGTGTTGGCCTGGGCAAAGCTTGTGCCTTGCTCGTGCTAAAAAAGCAATTTGCTCATGTTGACACTAGGCAGCTAACTAAATGACTGCTATCATTAAGCGTCCAACATGTGACATCATCTCAACCAAAGGGAGATAATCGCCTTTTGCAACTCTATACAAGTAGACAAATAGACTGATTATGATTGAGGGTAGGATGTTAAAATTTTGCTGATGACCTAAATAACTGCTCTAATTTATCACCTGAATGGTTATCAAAAATTCCATTTCATTTATCATTTGCATTAGAAAGTTATGTTTCAATGAGAATTTGAAAATGATTAAAGATTTATTATCTGATTTTATTCACATGTAGTTTTAAAATCCCAGCCACTAAAATCAAACATTCCCTTCAAGATTATTCAAGATATACTTTAACCTCATGAAATAGATTTTAAATAAAAATCATATAAACTGATTTGTATTAAGCATGAATTATGATATCATTTTTACTTGGCTCATTTAGAATACACCTTTTTTTTTCTTTTTGGTAGTGCATACTATTTGATACCATCTGTACTTATTTAATTGAAAATAACTGACAACAAAATTGATTCTCATGGCACCTTAGAAGTGTCTTTATCTATTGAACCTATATTACTAGTTTACAGATACATGATTTAGCATCTAATTATAAAAAAGAATTACAAATCTTAATATTTAAGTAAAAGGACTATTCATATGAATAACTTTGTACAGGCCATTTGCGACTCTTCACTGCTGATTTCTTCTCTTAGGCAGTTCTGAAATATTGAAATTTACTCAAATATCCAGGAATACAACACAAAAAAACACAAACAAATTTATTGGCTCACATATATCCTTTGAGTTTGGTAAAATAAACATTTTTTTTACAATATATATAGCTATCCAGATTTATTTGAAGTAAAATGACTTGATTTCATCACAAATAACAACTGTTAAATTCATAGGAGTCATTTTCAGAATATTTTAAACATTATCCCTATGTTGAACAACTTTTAATTTTTTCCATATTTCATTCTTTGAAAAATTAATTTGGTTGGGATATTTCTAATCCCCTGTAAACTGCTGCATTATCATTTTTCCAGAAAAATGTTTTAGCCGGAATATTAATGGAACCACTAAATGCAGACAGAATTCTTTCCTCAAATCAACATTCACAAGAACTTTATATCGTCTTGTCTACACCACAGTGTCAAGTTCAGGTGAGATTTGCATTTTATATTTCATTTCCAAAATAGGAAATATTATTTTGCTGTAATATCAGTAAATTGTAATAGATTTAGTATTATATGTGATGCAACATAGGATGGATTCAGAAGAGGAAAAAATGTGAATTTAAATTATTTAGCTTATATTTTCATCCTCTTTAACCAGTGTATTTTTCCTTTTTGTTGTTATATCTGTCAGGTATCCAGTAGTGTCTGAAAGATAAATAAAACAATTAGAAGTAAAAAAAAAAAAAAAAAATATTTATTTTCAAAATCTATTCTTTTAGTTTTAAAGAAAGTTTGAATAATAAATTTGTTGGGGCTACTTTTTCTTAACAGCAGCCACTAAGTGTAAGTTGCATCCAATAGATATACAAAGTCTTTTAATTTTGACGTAACTTGTTAACCAATCAGAATTACAATTACTACAAGAATTAGAAGAAGACATGGGGGATTCCATAGACTGTCAGAATAGTATCCAACCATGGGAATATTCAACAATGAGATGTCACTGAATGAGTTTGGGATTGTCACATTCACAATGCATCAAACCTTACCTGGATATTTGTCTTAGGAAACTATTTGAATAATTAAGGTTTTCAGCTATAATTCAATGCACAAATAAATAAAACTTTGGTACCAACACTTCAACACCCCATCAGCTGGGGCTTCAGAATATACCAACTGCACCTCTGCAGAGGGGTAAGAAGCTCCCCAATGAGGTGTCCTGGGTATGACAATAAACTACATCAGGCAGCAAGACTGCTGAGGTTTTGAAGAGCATGTAACCACCTCTTAATTGCTGTTGTTCCTAGGTCCACCCTGACCCAGGGTGGTAGAACTTGTTAGGATCCCAGTTATGGGCAATTAGTTAACCTTCTACCCACAAACTGGGGTCAAAACACTATGAAAGTGTAAAAATATATTTTTGAAAAAAAAAAAAAAAAAATATTGCCAGCAATAAAAAATCTTGTCGGCATTAAATAACCCATTGAGGTTGATATGCCGTAAAACAAACCAATAAACTTTACTGGGAATCCCTTGAAAGTGATTCACATTCTGGAAGGCCTTCAACATGAGCAACATCTCAAAACATTAAAGGTATGCAGGCTGCAATCAAAGAAAATTTGCAATTGACACTACAAGAATTAGAAGAAGACATGGGGGATTCCATAGACTGTCAGAATAGTATCCAACCATTTTGAAGATAACAACTGTTCATGCTTTCCATCTTGTGCAGGATTTTGGCAATATTTGCATGACATATGCCTGTTAACTCCAAGTCGAACTTCCTGCAATTTCTAGGTTTTTCCAAAGCACAAAGTTGTCAAAAGGGAGAATATTTCAGACCATGGATGAGATTAAGGAGAAAATGATGAGGCAATTGATGATGATCCCCAAAAAGATGGTTTTGAAAAGTGAAAGAGACACTAGGTTAAGTGTGTGAGATTCTAAGGAAAGTACTTTGAAGGAACTAAAACACCATTATTTTTGGTATTGATTTTATTTATTTTTTTGTTAATATTAACATTTCTGCTACTGTAGATAGACATGATTACAAATTTATATTGCCTGCTGTCAATGCATAAATATGTTTTTGTTGTAACCTAGGGAAGGTTACTGAATAGAATAATCACATGAAGGTTGGTAATGAATGATAATACTTAGGACACAAAAAACACGACACATGGAAGTAGTAGTCAACTGCTAGAAGTGAGTCAAGTGAATTCCACAATGAATCTCCAACTGCAGACCAACATACAGTATTTATTACTGTATTTATGTGAATGGGGACATACCCATTATTGTCCGTAGGTATGCTACAACAGTTTTCAAGACAGTAAAATATCAAACCCTAGTATTTGTTCTGTGAACTAACTAGAGCTTAATGCTATTTCTAACCCAGCATAGACATATAGTAGCATGCAATATGAGGGTCATTCAAAGCCTCACCCAGAAAGAGTTGGAGAAACAAAACAGTTTTTTCACTATTTTTCAATATAGCCTCCTCTGACATCAATGCACTTAGTCTAGTGATGTTTAAGCATTGCAATCCCATCATGGAAGAAGGTGATCATGCAGGTAGGATTTGAGTTTAAGAAGCAGGAAGAAGTCAGATGGAGCTAAGCCTGGTGAATAAGGGGGATGGGGTAGTAATTCAAAGCTACAATTGGCTGTTTCAGCTACTGCAGTGTGAATGGGCGTTATCCTGGAGCAAGAGTATATCTGTACTCAGCATTTTGACTTGATTGCTTCCTTCAGTTGTCTTAATTCTCAGGAATAATACTGTCCATTAATAGCTTTTCCCTTCTTCCAGGTAGTCTATCATGATTACACCTTCAGAATAAAAAAAAATATAGAAGCCATCAACTGCCAACAAAAACTGCCTGCTTGAACAACTTCAAGTGTGGGGAACCAGAGTGTTTCCACTGTTTGCTTTAAATCTTTGATTAAGGTCTTAAGTGGTGAAAATTCTCAGGGTCAGCCTAGAAGTGTCAACCCTTTTCAGTTTCTGCTCTGGTGTCAGCATTCTTGGGACACATCTTGCTCATCTCCAAGATCTCAGTTAAAACAGTATGGACCAAGCCAGAAGTAATGCTTATAAACTTAGCTATATGCTGGACAGTAAGATATCTGTCATCCAAAACCATATGGTGAATGGCATCAACTTTTTCATCACTATTTGATGACCTGACTGAGGGTCATCTGTGTTGTCCCTGCTTCACTTGAATTCCATAGACCACTTCTTCACAGTTGTATAGGAAGGGGGGTCTTCAGCAAGTGTCTGTACCATGTCCTCATGGATTTCCTTGAGTGTCATACCTTTCTTTTGCAGATACTTTATGACTGCTCGGACCTCTGTTTTGTTCATTTTTAGATTTGTCACACATCTTTCACCTTTGTATGGGCCTCACCTGCACAGAAATTAAGACAGAAATCTGAATTAGTTTTATAAGTAGTAATGTGTTGCTCCAAAAAAAAATGTTCAGTTATGGCTTTTCTTTCCGGGCGAGGCTTAGAACTTTTTGAACAACCCTCGTATGATTTGTTTTTATTACATTGTGTTATTTTTTAACTTAAACTGTACTGCAGTCTGATTGAAACCAAAATGGCAACTTACATGAAAAATCGGCATCAGTGTCTTCATAGTTATTTATTTCAAGTTAATGGCAGAGCCATACTATAACAATGTAGCAGTGAAAGTGTTAAGCATCATTTCCAGATAATTACAAAAATATGAGGACCATGTTTTCAGCAAACTTGGACATTTGTGCACAGAAAAAAAAGTGTCAAAAGGAGGTTTTTTTCCTTGACACCACTATTATTTTAACTACCTTCACACCTCTGCAGTGTTTATCGTTTTAAAAAGCAATGATTAGAATTGTAATAAAACTTAAATGTATGAAAGTGAATTTATAATTTTTTGTTCTTGTGAATTTACAGCAAAAATTGTAAACACTTTATTTATTAAATTGTTATCACAAGAATATCTTTATTTTTACATTCTAAAAACTAATATAATACAATATTTATAATTTACTGATTTATAAAGAAATATTTTTATTTCAAAACATTTACTAAATTATTAAAGTATGTGAACCAACTATAAGAAAATCCTTATTATTTACCATTTTATAAAGTTTGAATCAAGGTTTAAGTTTGCCATGTTTTCTTTATATGCTGATAGAAAATAAAATTGTAACATCCTGAATATGTTTCAATTTATTCTATATTAAACATAGGTAATATAACTGGATGATAATAAATGATGATATATGTACAGATCAATATATGTACAGGACTATATAAGGAATATCTTGACAGTAGCCATTATTCTATATTAAGACACTACACATGTTCCTTGTGTCTGTAATCTTTCATGCATATGATCATACAGAAAGTGAATACCATCTTGTGATACATTATTCCACTTTCTTGCATCTGTTGACATAGGAAGTGTTATATGTGAGCTAACTGAACAAATTAGGTGCTGACCTATACATGTTCAATAGGGACAGGTCTGGCAATCATGCCAGCCAGAGAAGTTATATAATATCTTGAAGAGCATGTCAAGTAACACAGGTATTATGTGGTTGGGCAATACCCTGAACATATTGCTTTCCTGTTGTAGAAATGTCAGCAGAACAGGTTGAACAATACTCTTGACAGAAATGGTGCTGTTCAACATTCCATCCACAAATACCAAAAGTGAGAAAGTGTTGTAATCATCTTAAATCATGATGCTAGAGATTGGATCTGTTTGTCATAGGTGAATACATTCTGGAAGATGTTGCTCCTCATGTCAGTCACATATGCTAACAACTATCACTTGCTCTCAACACTGAATACCTTAGGGTGTCATTCAATCCCTTAGGTGACCTCATAAAGTTACTTGAGGTGTGCTATATAAGGTAGAATATGTGGAAGTCTAGCAGTCCTGCTGTAAGCAAATGATTCCAAATGATTTGTGTTGAAATTCTTGAGAGCACATTTGCTCTGGCCTATGATGTGGATATCATGGGGCCTACCACTGCTGACTCTATAATGCATTGGTACTACATGACCATACAAAACCTTTTCTATGTGCATATATGAATGTTCATTTAATTTCTGTTGTCAGCACTGATGACAGCAATGCACCATGTCCAATATGTGCAACAACTCTCTGAAATAATCATCCAGTGTTCAATTCAAAACCCATTAAAATGATTATTAATAGAATGAATGTAGTATGTATATATCTCCATGGCATGATGGCTGTCTGCATTGCCCACTTTCAAATCAACTGAATCTTATTGTAGCATGTATCACCATCTGAGGTTCAAACACAGTTAGCACACTGGGCAAAAACTTTAAAAATTTTATCAGAATATCTACCCTCCCTCAGGTGCATATACTGTCTGTCAGTCAGTCAGTTATGATACATGCTAAGGTGATCATGTATCTTTCGATATATGACTGGCGAGGCAGATTTTTTCCCACAATAAGTTGCAATTTCTTTCTGCCGTAGACCAGTTGCTATCCAAGTCTATAGAACCCAGTCTGTCCTGCTATTTATCCAATAGCATTGTGGGGGGGGGGGTGTCATACCTTTCCCAAGGGTATTAGCAGATAAGTGAATGTAATGGATTCAACTAGAATTCAAAGTCGGCTCTCCAATTCCCCAAACTGAGCCACTATTACTCCACCAAGCTGCCTCCATATACTGTACACAAGTCAAAATCAGCATCATCCTTCATTGTGTTGCAATTTTATTAAAAAAGTACTTGATATTAATTGAACATTTGAAGAACTTATCTGCAACTTGTTTTCTTTTCTGACATTTAATGTTTAAAGAAGTAAATGCAAATAACTTGAAGTTGCCATTTTAATTTGGAAATAATCCACTTAAAAATAAAGTGCAATTGTTAGTTCATTGCTTTTTAAACCAAGAATCATATGAAAATCTATATTTAGTTCTAACCACAAATAAAATAATAAACAAGATTGAAAATTGCTATATTCAATTGTTATTTCAGACATTAGTGCTACATCATCCTGCACAAGCTGGGCTTGATTTATTAGCACAAGAATTCCAGTTGAGTTCCCATCGAGTATCCAGTGCACTGAATCATGGTAAGGTCCTTCCTGGTGGAGGTACAACAGAACAGAAATGTGCAGATTACCTTCTTAACAAAGCAGGTAAGAACTGAGCAGCATTAGAAAAACAATAATAACTAGCTGCAGCTGTGGAAAGTCTGTGGATGATGAAAGATTATCCATTGCCTCTTCTCTTAAATATTCATTCCAATATATTTTTGCCAGTCTCTGGTTTTTAAAAGTTATATCAATATAGATCCAGGATAAAAAAATGCACAAATGCTGTCTATTGCAGTCTCTTAGCTTTCTTTGGAACTTGTTGAAAACAGTAGTCCCGGATAGGATATGGCAACATTTATAATGGTATTTTTATTACAGATATATTTTGTTTAAAATCATATTTTTTACCAAGACAGCAATAAAATAAATGAAGTTGTTTCATTGTAAAAAGATTGGAATTGATTATGTTAGATCATTTAATTATTAACTAATTAATTAATTGGTTATTTGCAGAACTAATCTGTAACTTCCTTTCTTTTCTGGAATTTACTCTCTAAAAGAATAAAAACAAATTAGTTTCAGCTACGAGGGTTTTTTTGTTGCTATTTTAATTTAGAAATAATCCACTTAAAAATAAATTGTTTATTGTTCATAAAAGTAAGCTTTTATTTTAATTCAGTTTTATAATGAAATAAATTAATTTATGAATTGTATCTCTATGTGTAAAAAAAAAAAAAAAAAAATATAAACAAACTTGGGACCATGCTTGCAGTCATGATAAAATGACAGTTGCAAGCCAAATAACTCCATCTGCGAGAAAAGCATCATTATTAATAACATCATTACATCCCCCTTTCTTTTCCTTTATCTTTCTATAAAGAATTTTAATGTATTACAATTTCTACACATTTTCACCCCCTACCTACCTTACAATCTTTTACTCAATCTCTTTATATCCATTAAGCCAATATGTATTTATTCTTGTCTCTATCCCTTCCCCATTAAATACACATATTCAATAAAAGTTGATTTATTGAGTATTATAGCTCTACTTATCTAATGGGTGCTTTTTGACAGTTGTACCAGACTGAAAAATGTTAAACTCTCATATTTTTTTAGTTCTATTATATATATATAGTACAGTGTTGATTCCTATGTCTACTACCCTCTCTCATATATATATATATATATATATATATATATATATATATAATTAATACAAGTAAAAAGTTTGCCATTTAGCTGATTGATGTTACCAGACTTTTATAGGCAGAAAATAATAACAAAAATTGTAATTCACCAAAAACATGGACTACTTCTGGAAAATAGCATTTTTAGGCAAACAGTTTTTGTAATTATATTGTTTGATATTAAGAGATAGAGAATTAATAATAATGAATAAAATATCCACATATCTTGCCTTTACTCTGAGTTTCACTTTTTTTATATACAATTTTAACCTGGCCTTATTTTCTTTTTCATAATTTATATATCAGAGTAGGGACACGATAAATGAGAATTTATATTCTTTCCATTTTTCTCAAGTTTTCTTACCCCCCCCCATTCCCTTTCCACTTAATATTATTATGTAGGTTTCTCGGTTGGAAAGTGTAACTGATCTCAGCTCAGAGAGAAAATGATATTCAGTAAAAAAGCATAATGGTCCTACATACAGACAGTGATGTTTTTAATTCATTAAACATACTGATGATTGGATTATGTATGAGAATAGCATATTTAACTGTCATGACTTTTTGTTTTATTGAGCCTTCAGTAACTTTGTTGTATGATTTTTAAAGAGAAAGAACATTAAAAAATAGAAGTCAAAATAATAGAGTTGAAAAAGGAAGAATAACTAGAGATAAAAAATAATAAAGCCATTAAAAATTAGGTATAATGGATTTTTTTCATATAATATCCAGTAGATCAATAAGCTTTTCATTTAATTGTACAACCTTCATACTGTAGGATTAAAATTCACATTCGCAAGGAATGAGATGATGTTGAAAAATATTAATTATGTAAAATAAATGCTTTTACTGTACCTATGTATAAGTTCATAAATTGATACACTGAAGCTGTAAATAATATTTACTTTATATTATTTTCCTAAACTGCGATGTGGTATTTCTAAAGATCCTTTGTTATTTTTTATAAAAAAATGTTCACTTAAATTTCTATTTATTTTTAATTTGCAGAGTTATTAAGAAAGCAAATCCATCCTAACTCCAATGGACATGAATTATATATGGCCGAAATTCTTCTCAAACTTGCTGAGAGCTTTCAAAGTTTTTCAAAATGTGTTTCATTAAATTCTGGCAGAATGGACCGGGATACTAGCTACAACCTCATCCTTGATGATCACTTCACCAAAATCCAATCATGGAAAACTGCCTTGCAACTTGTGTCCATATTAACTCGAATTGATGCTAAAGTTGTTCTTGGCATACCTCAATAATTATTCAAATTTTTTGAAAGATTGACTGGACAAATAGGTCTTTTATTTCAACTTGAAATTGTTTTTTTTATGATTTACAGAGTTCAGTCAGAAGAACCTAAGAATATAAAATGCTAGGTTTGATGTGATTTTTTTTAAGATCCTATTAGTCGGTGACATACATATTGATGCAGGTAACCAAGACCAACACCCACAAACTTCAGACATTTACCAACCAATGTCTTGTATCAGGTAGCTGAAAGTAGTCTCCAACAACCAACTGTGGGACAGGACCAGACAAGCCCCAATCGAGATTGATATCAAGAAACAGAAATGGTTTGGTTTGCTTTGGTTTACGGCATATCAACCTTAATGGGTCATTTAATGCCGACAGCTTTTTTCTTTTTTTTTCCTGGTAATATTTTTGCTTTGTCAAAAATCCATTTCTGTTAATATTTTTTCCTCAAAAATATATAGCTGGTAATATTATTTTTTCAAAAACGTATTATCAGGGGCCTTGCTGTTGGACATAGTTTATCATCATACCCAGGATGCGGATATAGAGTGTTAACTATTTGCCCATAGCTGGGACCCCAACAGGTGCTACCACCCCGGATCAGGGTGGACCAGGGAACACCAGCAATTAAGAGTTGGTTCCATGCTGTTGGACGTAGTTGGATATAGTTTATCATAAACAGAAACGGGGATGGATCGGCCACACATTCTGCAAGCCAGCTTCTAGTGTCACCAGGCAGGCCCTTGACTGGAATCCACAAGGGATGCGAAGTCGGTCAACCAAAATAGACTTGGTGCAAAAATGAATTCAGCTGGCACAACATACACCGAGCTGTTGAGGATCGCCCAGAACCATGTCGATTGGAGAGGTGTTGTTGCAGCCCTATGTTCCCCAAGGAATCAAGAGGCATAATATATATATTTTGACACACTGGCATAGAACCTCATCGTAAAAGTTAACCTGCAGGGTAATTATGCATTCTTTTCTAGCAATTTGTAATTTAATGTTTGAGGGTCATCTCTGCCCAGTAGCATTTGGCTTCTTTGGAGCATTTATGCAAACATGGTTTTTGACTGTGCTTGCACCACTACTTGCAGATAGTTACTGGTCATGATATTAATGGAAGATTTCAATACCTAGCTCATTGCTTGTACAAACACTTTTTGATAGATTTACTGTAGCATCTCTAACAATTTATCTAATTCACTCAGAAATCTTTTTCTTGTTATATGCACCAGGATTCTTCAAAAAGATGCAGATCATGATGATAGACCAGGATTTTGTAGGCAGCAGACTTTTCAGCATTTGCAAGGATTTGGGAGTATCATTGTCACACTTATGCTTTTTCCCTTGGCAAAAGCAAAAAACAAAGAAAGCAAGAGAATTAGAAAAAAAGCGTCAAAATTATAAGTGTCTGGACACAGATAAATTAGCTTTAATTTCAAAATTGACCTCATTTGACAATGATTAATGAAATTAAATATTTTAGAAATACATCTGCAGCTCACTTAACATATTCTATACTCTTCTGAACACAAAATCCCTAATTCAACAAGAAATCAGTCATTTTTCTCAATGTTCTTATAATTCCTTGGTAGAGTGAAATCGTAATGATACTATTTACAATGTAAACAAGATAGCAAAGAGGTAGTACAAACCTGAAACAAGAGTATTTTTATGAAAATGTATTTTTTTTTTATATACTTTCATGTGCAAATTTTGCATTTTTGAAAATAATTAAATTTAAAGTGGAACTTTAATGTACTGTGTCTGTGCAAAAACTGGACCTTGTGGACTACATGGTTCAGATATTTTGTAAAATAAGGAAAAATTTTCTGTAAAATCTATGACAGTTGCAGACAAAGATTTATCTTATTCAGTTCTGTGATATACCTATGTATTCTGATTAAGTTTAAAATATTGACATCAATATACAAATTTGAAATTTTCAGATTTTTTTTTCCCCCATTACTAAAATGAATTCATTATTTTTAGAACTTTACAAAACAATTACCATGCATTTTTTTCTTTTTTTACAAATAGTCTTATCTAAAATAGCAGAAGTGCTCTGAGATTCATGCAGTTAATCTCACAAAATTGCTTTTGAGATCTTAGATTGGACTAAGCACTATCAATGCACCTTTTGGAGGATTAGACTCCAGTGATTCCAAAGCTGATACCTCAAAAGCTGCTTGAAATCATCCCATTTGTGGAAAAATGCAAAGAAACAAATGTGTGAGCTTGATTTTACAAAGAGAAACACTCACCTGTTTTGTTTTTTTTTGTTTTTTTTTTACTACAAAAGGCTGATTGAAAGAACAGTTGTAGTTGATCAGCTTTATGGCATCAAAGTTGAATACCTTACAAAAAAGAAAAACACACACACACACACACACACACACATATATATAATTTCCAAACAAACTTAATTAAAAAAATAACAAGGTTTGTCTATTTTTTTTTTTCATTGTATTTTCCAAAATTTCAAATAAGGTGTTTTTGTATTGTGATAAAAATTCTGGATAAACTGTGAAGTTTGATCACAAAACCTTATTTGAAAAAACACAATTAGAAATTAAACAGTTTTGCCATTTCTTTTTAATCAAAACTTGTTTGGATAGATACCTGCTGCTTAAATATCCTCATCTTTGTTATATTCATGACATTTCAGACATTGTATGCTCCACCCTTCTCCAGGTGATTGGAATTTCAAACTGAACCCTTTTTTCATCCAATGAGATTGTTCTAGTTCCATGTGCCATGCCTCTATCGGATGTCTCAGTTATCTCCCTTTAACTCAGCTCACCAAATCTTTGTTCATCACTGCAGTAGCCAGGTATTGAACTCACAAGGTCAAGTCACTGGATCTTGCCAACACTTTTATCCACTGGGACATGTGTCTTTGAGGACATAAGTGTACGAATTTTGGGACTTATAAACTTAATATTTCAGTTTACATTTTTTATCAGAGCTCATATTGCAATTTTGTTGTTATTGCTTTCCTCTAGCACTCTGTATTACTGGTTCCCATATTGTATTTATTTCTATGCTTGGCCAGCTTAGGAGATTTATTATGGCCTGGCATATGTGCTGATTCCTTAAGTTTTCATATTTTCCAGTGATGTTCTCTGTCTGTTATTTCAATCTCATCTACAATGCAAGTTTTTCATTTTTTCTCCATTGTGAACTGTATCGATGATCTTATTGAGTTCACATAGTCCAGTAGTAGCTGGACCTCTTCCTGGTGTGGCCAAAGTCTGGTGTCATCTACATATCTCAGCCATAGGGTTGGCTTTAGTGATATGGATTCTAATGCCATTTCTTCAAAGTATTCCATGTATATGCTTGCCATTGCAGGTGATAATGACAAGCCCATTGCTAAGCCTTCATCCTGTTGATATATGTACAAGAGGTTAACAACACTCAGAAAATAGCTTTGATCTGCCTATCCTATGTGAAGGAATTACTGGAAAAAATTCAAAAGATCTGTGGTCCATATATTAGGCTGACCTTCAAATGTGGTTCAGCACTTTGCAGACCCCCCTTCTGAGTAAAATTCCCCATCGAGGAGAACATGACTAAAGACTGTGTATGCCATCCCATGCAATTGTGGTAAGCAATATAAAGGAGAAACAGGTTGCCCCCTTAATATTAAAATTGCAATATGAGCTCTGGTAAAAAATAACAGACATTGAGTTTATAAGTCCCAAAAATTCATACACTAATGTCTTGAAGTAGATGAAAGTGTTGGATCCAGTGACTTGACCCAAAGAGTTGCGAGTTGAATACATAGCTAATGCAGTGATGAAAAAAAATAGAGAGGGAGACAACTGAGACATCTGATAGAGGCATGGCATGCGGAACTAGAAAAATTTACCCCAGTGGATGAAATAAAGGGTTCACTTTGAAATTCCAATCACCTGAAGAAGGCCGGAGTGTATTATTGTGAATATGGCAACAAACATGAAGACAAGAGTCTGAACAATGGAAATAATTACAATATCTCATCTTAGAAATATGTCCTGACAAATGGATGGAGGGTCTTTCTATGAAACTAACTGTGATGCTGAGAATAACATCAATCAGTTAAGTGACAAATCATTATATAATTTTTTAATTTTATCATATAGACAAAACCATTTTTACTCACTACAAAGATGCAACTTGGTTTCAGTGCATTTCAACTGCACTTCGACAGGGAGAATCAAAAATGGTTATGAACAATCCTGGTTGTAGGCAAGCCATATGTAAAAGAGGAAATCACCACTTCTAAATTTTAATCCACAAAACACATTCATTGATTACAGAATTAGTAGTGATAACCCCAACATAAATACATGCAATTCAGCTCTAGAATTTTTATAGTAAACCAAAAATAACATTCCCAATTACTACTAGAACTATCGCTACAATTTTTACCTACTCAAACGTAATACTATCCTCTATCTCCATCTTTCCTCCCCTAACTCTCACTCATAGGGGGCTTGTAAGATGATGTGCCTAAACTTTTGACCGGTGCTTATCGGGAAAAAAATTTCAACAGACCTGTCAGTATTAAACACCCAATCCATTCTTCACCAAACTGCTATTTCACTCCGTCACCTATTTTTTTTTTTTTCTTTATGTATATTTTTCTTCTCAAACAAATGGAAAAAAGCAAGTGATGTTTTACATACAGCTTGCCTACAACCAGGATTGTTCATAACCATTTTCGATTCTCACTCGTCGAAGTGCAGATGAAATGTACTGAAACCAAGTTGCATCTTTGTAGTGAGTAAAATGGTTGTCTATATGATAAAATTATAATAAATAATTATCGCTCTATCGGTATCGAGCCCTCTTTTAGATTAATACTGTGAATGTTGGAATTTATATATTACTTTCGTTCTCATCGCATCATATAGACATGTGGTGGCTGTCAACTTGCAAAGCAAATATGACCATTGCTGACATGTCCAGCCCTTCACCTAAACTCCTCTCTCCAACACTGCATTAATCAGTTGTGTGAATGACAGTGGCTCATAAAGCCAGCCATTGATCTGCATTTCTTGTCACATATGTGGTATATCAAATTATCTCCAGGTGGTGGAAGGAGACTATGATCATCATCACTTCCAATGTGCCCTTTCATATGCCTTGTCAGGCCCAACCTAGCATTCAAAGCATGCCATTACGAAATTGTCATATACAATAGACTATTCGTGTTAGGGTAACTGAGCAGATCTGCCCTGGACAGACATATTCGATTGCATTTGGTATATGGCCAGGTTGGCACCTCATGCCAATTCAGGGATCCCTTCCAAATTTTGTGATGCCTCATGGAAGATCTTGACACCGTCAACAATACCATCTCTACAAGAAACCTAGTCTTCTGCTAGAATCTCCCAGTTATCCAGACTAATATTGCACTTGTATAGTGTGTGTGTGTATATATATATATATATATATATATATATACACACACACACACACACACACACACAAAAGTAATTTCTGTTTTTTTTAGGAACCAGTTGTAATGAATCTATCATCCTAACTACTAATCATACATAACATTTGCAAATAAATTTGGAGTACACAAACATTATCTCTAGAGAGGTTTACCTGAGTTAGAAAGATTAGCTTGCTATGACCTGGGTTCAAACCTTGCTGATTGTCATGATATTGATATCTAAAATCAGCTCTGGTCTTGTTCCCTCAACCGTGTCTTGTATGGCTTAAGCAGGGAAGTTTAAGTTTTTCTGTTTCTCCCTGGTTGCATGCCAACCATCAAGAAATGGTAGAAAAGATGTAATGATTTATAAGACCATCTTGCCAATTATTATGCCACTCTATGGCAAGGCATGCCTCATAATTGTGTTTACTTCATATTAAAGCATTAAAATGTTCAAGATACTAAAAAAAAAAAAAAAAAAAGTCATTTTATAGTCTGGAAAACTTGTACTTTTTTTCACTTTCTAACTAATGGGTCATGAGTTTTAAGGCAAGCCTAAAAGCCTTGATAAATAAAATGAAATCTGATACTTGATCAAATTTTGAGAAGTGCAGTGGGCTAAGAACTTTTCAGCACTTCCTCATACAAGTTTCATAAGGAATTCACACAAGTTCACATCTGCATTGTTTTTTAGCCATATCACCAAAGAATTTTATGGTTTTCTTTTAATTTCTAGAATGAAAGAATGAATTAGATCTTTGGATGATAAAAAAAAGACAGAACACCATTTTAAAATAAGAATAAATTGTATTTATCTTAGTCTTGCCCAATATCAAGCATGCTACTCAATTCCCAGCCTCTTTCACATTTTTTTTGTACAATAGATCCACACATACCTAATGAATAAGTCTTTTACATGATCAGTCATTCAGTTGATGAAAAAAGTCAGGTTGTTGCAAAATGGTAGTTTTATTTTATTGACCTAAAATAAATGTGCTAGATATGATTGTTTTGCTAATATTGAAAGTTTTTTATCCATTGTGAATTTTTTTGAAATTCGAATTGGTGAGGGTGAAGGTTTCAGAATTCCATTTTCTGGCTTCTTGCTTGGATAGAATGCAGTTTGATGATGCTTGGAGTGAGTCCCTTCACAAAATGCTATAAAGGCAAAGAAATAAAAATAATTTTATTTTATTTTTTTTTTTAATTAATACCTATGAGGGGATGCTGAAAAGTTCTTTGCTCAATTCCTCACCAAATTCTGAATTTCTGATGCCTGTTCAAATCTTGCAATGCAGGACAGGCCAAGACCTTTTTAGCACACCCTCCTAGATATCTCAAACATTTACAAATTTCTGCTGGTAGTTTTATTGAAGCATTTTAAAATAAAATTATTTCTTTTTCAAAATTTATATTAAAACTTTTCAAACGCCATCAACAACTGATTTATACTTTTGTTTTTAGTGGAATTATTTATTTTTAAGGAAACAGTTAACCAATCCCCATTCATCTAAAATGGTTAAAATAAAATGAAGCTTCCCAATAAATTTAAATAGATTCTAATGTGATGGAAGTGGACTAATAGCAAATAAATTAAAATACAATATGAAGAAATAGCATCTTACAGAAACTAAAATTATATTGTAAATGAGAAAGTTTCGATTTTCAAGAATAAGAAAAAAAAAAAAAAAAAAAACTTATGAAATTAACTCTATACAACCAAAATCAAGATTTCATAAATCTGTGTAAGAAGGATGATTTGACAATGTTCAACTTTCATACCCACTTCCCCCAATCCAGAAAAAGGATGGTTATTCCCTTGACACTGCTATTACTGTATACACTTCCTGCTCAGCAATCTTTGTTTCAAAAAGTGATGATTTAATAAAATCCAAACATATAAAAGTGGATTTGTACATTTTCTTTATTCTTGAGAATTGACAACAAAGATAGTAAACACTATTAGATTGCTTATTTACATGAATATAAAAATATGTCAACTATAAAGGAATAAATATGAAAAGTTTTTCATTCATAAATTTATAAAAATGTCTATCAACAAGTAACTAATTATAAATTTTGAAAAAAGAAAAAAAAGAAATGAATTTTCTAGGCATTTTTTTCATTTGCTCAACACAATTTCCCTAAAGTGAGTTGAAAAGACCTTTTCATCTACCAAAAGTTCTTTTAATTTAGGTTTGTCATGTTTATTCAAATTTTCGTGTTCTACAGTTATTTATAAAATGGTAAATAATAAATATTGCATTATAGTTGGTTTACATATTTTGATAATGTAATTTAAAAAAACTATTATTTTTGAATAAAAAGATTTTTCTAATTTATTTCCTATAATGGTAAATAAACATTGCTGAGGGAGTCAAAAGTGTATACAGTAATAGTGGTGGCAAGGAAATAACCATCCATTTGACACACTGTTTTTTTGTGGGTACAACGGTGAAACATTGCCAATGATTCAAAAACAATAATATGTGACTGATAAGCTTACTGCTGATGGTGGGATGTCCGCACTAATTTTAGTTACATAGAAGTGAGGTTAGCATTTCCACTTAACATGTTTGGATTTCTTGATCCACTGCACACAAAAGTGTGTGTTCATTGTAGTGCACAAGATTTTCATATTGGGCATTTTTTACTCAATTACTGTCAACAAAAAGGACAGGCTACAAAGTCTAAGCTTTAGGATATAACTCATTAGCCTTACAGTCAGTATGACAAGTTAACCCACCTATCATCTTTGTCCATATCAGATATTGTGTATTTTGGGATCAGAAGAGTTCTCTTGACAGAATTGGTCAAAATGTTTGTTGAGCTAAGTGTACTTGGTAACAAGAAAAATGGGTAAACTAAAAAGAAAATACTCATTTAAAAACATTTACCTAGTTAAGGGTTATATTACATTAACTCTTCCCCAATTAAGAGTTGTATCTTTTTATGCTATCGTCAGGCAACTTCTAAGGACCTATTCTTCACATGAGCAAAGGACTTGTAAAATACAAGTTAGCCAATTTTATCCTTCCAGGCTTTTATATGATTAATTTTATTACAACTGATGAGTGATTGTAGATTTTAAGAACTTGTAAATTCAAGCAAGTCAGTGTCATACAAGTGTAGGGTTCCATATAAGTAAAAAAAAAAAAAAAAATTAGAAACAGTCTGTACTTATAAAATCCATTATAAATTTCAATTATTTGTCAAGTGAACTACTGTTTGCTTTTGTAATTAAGAATATAAACAAGATTTTAAGTTTCTTAATCTAAATTTTTACATCTATTAACATAAAATTAATTTTACAGAAAAAAAAAAAAAAATTACAATACATTGTTGGTAAAACAACCTTTTCTAAGAATAAAAAATATGCATTTACATGTAAAGATTCATCTTCTGATTAAGTGGAATTAAGATTTCTAACAACCTACCTTGGTTTTGCTTCATATTAAAACTGACATGCTTTTTTTCTCTTTGTGTGTTTTCTGTGGGTGTCTTAGGTATTTTTTTACTTGCTACTGAATCCTGTTTAAAGAAAAAAAAAAAAAAAAAAAAAGGTTAAGAAGTTAAACAAGCAAAATGATTGCTATGATTTAAGCATTTAAATATTAACAAAATCCATCAAATTTTATGAAACAAATATCAAATCATCTACAAGTATATTTTCTAAGATTGCTTTCATCTACCAAATTTCAAAATTATCTGTAAGGTAACATTTCACTGAGATCTAATATTAACAATATTAGATCATCTATGATTTTTCAAAAGATGTGAGGTGACATTAGTATATATTCTTTGGATCCAAAGTTTAAAAAAAATTATTTAATCTTTAATAATTTGTTGATGACTTTTTAATGAATAAAAACGTTTGTCCAGCTATTAGATAAAACTAAATATCAAGCCATCATTTACTTGGATTTCACACTTAGTTTGATAGTGATTCATGCTCAATTGGGATATTTTTGTCATATAGGAAAATCCAACATGGTGCGTAAACAAAATATTTGGCGAAAATCCTATTTGTCAGTAACATTTTAAACGCCTCATAGAATGTAAAGTTCTTAAAGCAAACCTGTGCCAAACTGTTTTCCTGAATCCCTGATGACTTGGCTGATCCAAAAATGACAACATCAAGATGAAATAATAGAAATGGACTGTGAAAAACACAATTATGCACAACAGGTTTTCGATCAATCAGTAAACTTTTGGAGGTTTTTGGGCCATGTTATAGGATCCAGACGGCTATTGTTTGCACATTCACTGGTACTTAATCTCCAATTTGGCTGTGAAAAATGTCACTTGGGGTTAGCATTAAGAAACTATGCCCAATTTTCTGAGAAAAATCACCTTTTTTTTTTTTATGAAAAAAATATTTATTTTCACTTCAAAATAATATCATTCAAAATTCATCCCTTCCTCCTTAAGTTGGTGTGAACATCATTGAATAAGAGGAATGGCTAAATGGCCTGGCAATGAGAAATATGAAAGACATGCAAAAAAAAAAAAAAAAAAAAACCCAAAAACCCCAAAAAAAACACAATGTCGGCTGCTAAGTGTCGTTGTCATCACCCAGGTCATGAGGTGTTAAAAACAAAACACATCAAGCCATTGTTCAAACTTAGGTTTGAAGAAGAAAATAAACCCTATATCAAGCCCTACCAATATTGACCCTTTTTTCCATTCTTTGCTCTTATCTGGGAGTGGTGGGTTTTATACAAGCTGACAACAGCTTGCTCTAAACATTTATTGCTGGCTGACCTTTGACCCAGACATGTCAAAGTCAATTTGGCTTAATTTTCCTAATTGCTGATATTTTTTAGAAAAAAGAAAAAAAAAAAAAAACAACTTTTGGTTACTGATGGTCAGGAATTGCAGATAAATCTTTCGCCTTTTACTAAAGATTTCTGTGGCTGGGTGTCAATTTTTTAACCCCTGACAGTCATATAATTGAAAATTACCAATCGACTTTGTCGCATTTTAACCCCCTAGGAATGTTGATTTCCTTTAAAACTCAATTTTATGTCTGAAATAGTTTGATTATGATTTAAGCTTTCTGATTTTCAAAAATAAAAAAGAAAAAAAAAAAGAAGTTAATTTCCCATTAATGGGAAATTTTTTTGCTTAGAACTAGAAAAAAAATGCAAAATTTTCACTATTTTTTCAAATTTTATCCCCTGAAAAATTTTTTTGAATCATTTACACCAGTCAATTTTACTTTTAAATGAAAGAATATATCCTTTGCTTTCAGAAAAGGCCCAGTTTGATGGGGTTCAGATCAAAAGTTTATTTGTTCAGATGAAAACAAAAGTCATTTTTCAATATTTTTTCAAATAAAATAACCTGTGACAAAATGACTTTTGCTATTTTTGTGATGATTTTTACTTGGGACAGAAAATTTTTACCATGGCAAACCTGAATTGACTTTATTTAAGCTTAGTGGGGCTGCAGGAAGCCTCAAACAGATGTGTTATATCCTGCTATTACAACAGTATAAACAATCTTAAATGAAATCGAAATCCAGTTAAATTGCAGGGCAATTAAAGGAATAATCATAAAATTTCTGCTTCAAATGACTTACCTCAGCTTTTGTCTTCTTAGACTTGCTACTTTTCCTTGACTTTGTTGCCTTGGCAATAGCATTCCTTAAAAAGGCTGGCGGTTGTTCATATAACTTTTCTAGTTCAGGCTTTTCAGGTTCCTTTTTAACCAGAGTAGGTTGTTCGTCTTTAGTAATTGGGGCACTTTTGCATTTTACCACAAGAGATACTGTTTTGCTTTTCTGTTTTTTTGCTTTATCTTTTGTTACTGGAACGTCTTTGTCCACTGATGAATCTTTTTCTTCAGGGACATTGCATTTTTTATTCTTTTCTATGTTATCTACTTCTTTCTTAACCTGCTCAAAATAGCGGTCAAGCTGGGAGTTTTTTACATTCTTTTTACTTTTTTCTAAGTACTTTTGTTTTTCCTCTTTCAACTTTTTCAAATGCTCAAACAGCTGCAGTGTGTTTTGTGTTTGGATGTTGGAAATATCAACAGAGTTTTTGGCATTGGTAGGTAGTGGAAAATGTAAGAGTTTGGCAGATTTTTTACTTTGGTCATTTGTTCCTTGGGATTCTTTTTTGGCCTATTAAAAAATAAAATAAAAAACACATTGCACTATTAAATTTGCATTTGACAGCAAAGAATTCTCTTGGATTTCCTTTTTTGGAAATAAAATCAAAGGTGAACAAGTTAGAATTGTTAATACAAAATAAATGAGAAAGTTGCTTCCAAATTAATGAACTGTATTGAACAGTATATAAAACCAATCTTCAGATGTACATTTAATATAACAGCATTATGATGAGGCTATCTACAAGAATTGGTGGTTTACAATGTCAATGAAAGCACAAAGCCTACCAGATGATGTTTCAACTTGACAGATAAGACGACAGATGAAAAATTTACAATACAAATAAGTTTAGAGAACAAATGTTCATATTGCTTGTAGGGTCAACAGAGAGATGCAGAAAAGTTTAATTTTTCTTTTAATTCCTCTTTATAACTGAAGCTGATTTTTTTTTTAGTTTTCTTCATACACAAACCATCTGTAGTTATTGTTTTAATTAAGCAAAGATAATAGAAACAGACATATATATATTATAAATTTACTAATTTAAAAATATGGTTCCATCACTACACAGGAATTACCATGTTTCAAAAATGGAAACTAAAAACTTCAAATTTAATTATAGAATTAAATTAAAATCCCTAGTACTATTTCATTTTCAAGCGAATTTTGGAATAACTTATTTTGAAATTTACTAAGTTTTATAAGCACATACATTCTTAATATTAGTTTGTAAGGATATGGGGAAATTCAATCATTTTGACAAGTGGTGGTAGGGTATTCATTTTCACTGACAACTATTGTATCAAAATAAGAGTTACTTTTGAAATGAGGTTAAGTCAAAATAGGGTAGGGGTGACTGTTCAACAAACGATATCCGTTCTTCACATGTCATTTGTCAAAATGATTGAATTTCCCCGCATCCTTAAAAACTAATATTAAGAATGTATGTACTTATATATATATATATATATATATATATATCTCAAATGTGGCATATTTAACACCCATGAACCTTCCAGCAAGTATATAAAGTCATAATATTTATCAACATGTATCTTCCTCACACATATTAATATACCGTCCCATCATAGTTTATGTACATACACCTATTTACATATAAATATTCACACTTATAGACAAAAGTCAGAGGTCTTTCATTTTTTGGTTATTCTTTATAGTTTTCTGTTATAATTTTATTATATTGATCTTCATATTTAAACTGGCAATAGCATTGGGTATTTTTTTTCTGTGACCTTTCTCATTTGGCTATTTTTGTAAATCATAGCTACATATTAAATGGAATTAAACTTACTAATTACATCATGCAATTAGTAAGTTTAATTTTTTTTTGTTAACTACTCAAGATACCGTATTTTCAAATAATTCCACATCACTTTGCTATGTTAATTTGATACTTACCTGGGCCTTTTTGTTTTTCTTAGTTTGTTTTACTTTTTTGACTTTCTTATTGTCTGCTTTTTCACCTGATTTATTGTCTTTAGAAGACTTTTGAACCTCAAACACTTCTTCAGTCAGTTTTATACTTTCTTTGGCATGATTTTCTTCCTCTGGAAAATCAACCATTCCAAACACAGGTTGTGTTTCAGAAATTCCACTGCCATTATCTGTTTCCATTGACATTTTCTTGACTTTGTGTTTTCTTTTCTTTGACTTCTTTTGTTCAGGCAAGTCAACCTCCATTTTCCCAGCAGCAGTAATATTATCCAGTTTCTTTTTCCTCCTCTCTTTTTTCGTTTTTTTCTTCGGTTCTTCAGTTGCATCTTTTTCAACAGATTCTTCATTTTTACGTTTAGATCCAGCCTTTTGTAATTTTTTATTTTTTTTTGTGGCTGCAGAACTTTCTTGCGCCACTTCCCTTTTTGCCAATTCATCTTCAATCTCGCCATTAAGTAAGCATTTATCATTAATCAAATTTTCCACATCTTCATCCATCTCCTCTTCACACATTTCATTATCACTTTCTGCTGACATTTGAAAGAATTCAGCTTCTGGGTCATGCTCCAAACTATCATCATCACTACCACTATCTCTGAATCTATCTTCTTTCTCTTCAGTGTTAGCATCATTGAAATCAGTTTTTGTTTTTTTTGATTTCTTCTTCTTCTTCTTCTCCATAAGCAGTTTTCCTGAAAGCAAACAATTTAACAGCTTTAAATATGAAGCAAATTTATACAGGAAACATACTTGAAAAGAACGAGGCAATACTTTTGGGTTGAAAAAAAAAAAAAAAAAAAAAAAAAAAAAAGCAAACTAAGTCTACATTGCAATGGTTTTTTTTTTTTTTAAGATTATTTACTTTAGAATGCATGATTAAAGACAAAAATATAATGGGTGGTAGCATACTTACGTTTATACTCTTTGCGTGTAGGTACATTTTCAAATAATTTCTCCTTATGTTTTTTAAGCATTTTAGCAGCAACATTGATTTCCTTCTGTGATATTTTAACATCAGTTTCATCAATATCTTTTTCTTTGATTATTTTGAGAGGCTTTTGTGGATGTGTCTCAAAATACCGGATTCTAATTTATAAATATACAAAATAAAAAGAAAAAAAATCATCAAATTCATACAAAAAAAAAAAAAACAAAAAAAAAAAATACAAATGGTGTGTCAAAAGTATGGTTTTACCTTGACACCAATATTACTGTATATTCTCTCAGCAATTTTTATTGCTTTAAAAAGTTGTTAAGAATTTTTATAAAAACACAATCTGGATTTATGCATTTTTCTTTAAAGAGAGAATTGACAACAAAAATATTAAACACTATTCTTGCAAATAAACAGCCCTAATAAATTGTTCAAAATTTTTGTAAACTTTTAAATTATTCTTGTAAATAAACTAATAGTATTTAATCTATTATTCATGCATATTAAACTGTTATCATTCAAATAATTAGAAAGTATGGAAAAAAAAAAAAAAAAAAAAACTAATGAAAAAAAACACTGAGAAAACATGCCTTTTGACTAATTTGTAGATTTGACTTCGATTTTTGGCTGAACATTTTTTGCTGGCACCCTTTTCAATCAACTGTTTGAGCAAAAGTTCTTTGTTGAACTGAAAATGAAAAGGTTTAAAAATTAATTTGAATAAAATCAACAATAAAAATATCAGGTCATTCCATAAGTTCTGTCTGAATTTTGAATAAAGAAAACAAGTGACCAAATGTTACATTTAATTACAGATTCAATCAACTATGTATTTTCCCAGATTATCTATGACTTCCTTCCATCTATTAACAAGCTTACTAATTCTATTACTGTAAAATTCTTTTGGCTTTGATTCAAAGAACTCACAAATGTCAGTTTTAACCTCTTCCTGTGTTACAAAAGCTGTTTCTTCCAAATGATTTTGTAAGCTACGAAACAAATGGTAGTCTGAAGGAGCAAGATCGAGAGAATAAGGTGGATGAGGAATTTTCTCTCAACCAAGTTTTTTGATCTTTTGTGACGTGATTCTTGCTGTGTGGGATCGTGCATTGTCCTGATGAAACATCACCTCTTTTCGATTCACTAGAGCAGGTCTTTTTTTCCCTCAAAGCTTGGTTCAAACGCTCTAATTGCTGACAGTATATTTGAGCATTAATTGTTGCATTAGGCGGCAAGAATTCAAAGTGGATTATTCCTTGGCAATCCCACCAGATTGAAAGAAGAACCTTTTGCCCATGAAGTTCCCCTGGCTGTGGCTGGGGTCCTTCCCCTTTACTAAGCCACTGTCTATGACGCTTAACATTTCGATAAAAGATCCATTTTTCATGACCAGTCACAAGTATATCCAAAAAAGGTGAAACAAGATGGCGAGAATGGAGAGATGAGCAGATGTCAACTCAGGATTTGAGGTTGTTTTCAGACAATTCATGAAGCACCCATTTTCCAAGTTTAGGAACTTTTCCAAGTTGTTGAAGATGAACAGTTGGTTTGAACTGAGAACCACTGCCAATTCCTCAACTGATAAAGCAGGATTTTCTTTAAGGGCTGCTTCAAGAAGCTTTTCATCAAACTCAACTGGACGTCTGGTTTGATCTTCATCTTCAAGGGTGAAATCTCCACCTCTGAATTTTGCAAACCATCTTCTGCAAGTTCTTTCATTCACACATTTCTCTCCATAAACTGAGTGAATGTTTCTAGCTGCTTTGGCTGCTGAGTTTCCTTTCTTGAACTCATAAAGCATTATGTGCTTCAAATGATTCTTGGGTACTTCCATGTTAGCAGGGTTTTAATCAAACAAAATTTTATTTTATTGTTCTCTGAAATAAAATTTGATCAGTTTAAATGCATCTAAACATAAAAATAATGTTCAGCTCCATTAGACATTATAAAATACCCTTTAAATTTCATTCATTTTAACAAAATTTAAATGAGCATGCAATGATACTGGATGTAAAATCCATAACCATTTTTCTATCAAATAACAAACTACTTCAATAAAATTCTTACCTGTAATTTATTCTCTGTAACCCGAGAAGGGTCACGCTCTACAAAACCACAAATCCTTGAGTTCTTGTTCTGTACTGGATAATCCTTGCCACCACTAGCTTCAAATAACATTGACAAAAGTTTCCTCATCACATTATCACTGAAAAAACAAAATTGTAGAAATATGTCATCATCTTTTTGTGTATTTGGGTGGAGAAGTATGACTTGTTGAAAGACTTAAAAGAAGATCCTTAGAACACTGAATTTTTTTTCTAAATAACTACATTTGTAAGATGACCATCTCGGTCCAAATTTATATTTTTTGCTCTGTTGGAAAAAAAAAAAAAAGTTGACAATTTTATATATATATATATATATATATATGTGTGTGTGTGTGTGTGCACACAGCCTATTTTCTTATGTATATTATGACTTGAAGCTAAAAACAGAATAAATTACATCCTTGTGAATAATACAACCCTGTAGTATAGTATTTTTATTAAAATTTTTACAATATTATCCATTTAAATTTCAATATTGTACCTATATTTCACTAGAATATTTAATTTTTCATGCTATTAAATAATAGATATTAACCAGATATTTAGCCATTGTGTGTTTCTTCTACTTCTGTTTCAAAACTTATTTTCAGGGAAAAGTGCTAAGGTAATACATTTTAAGGTGTTAATTAATTTATCATATTTTTCTGTTTGATATGATTTTATTATATTTCTATATGTTAATAAATCATGGAAAAAAAAAAAAAATATTGTCTTTCATTAAGAATGAAGAGAGAAAACTTTATAAAAATAGCAAGAAAATAAAAATATAAACTTCATCTTATGCAAAACTGAGTGTATTTTCAATCTTGCTATTTCAAATAAGATTTTAAGCCCAGTAAGCATTTCTGAAAGTGTGTACTTGTGTATAATATGACTCCCAGCCTTTAATTTTCATTCAATATTTATTGTATTATGCACAAGAAAATATGATGTTTGTGTGTGTGTGTATATATATATATATATATATATATATATATATATATATAAAAATAAAATGGATGAACTCTGACAATTATTTTAATATATTTTCCATTTATACGTTAAGGGAACCATCATTTGATCTGATGTGCTGTTAACCAGTGAGACACAAAGAAGCACCTGCTTAGCAAAATCCAAATTTCTGTTTATAAACACACTTTCAACGATTTTTCATGATTGGTCATATCTGCTCATGAAATATATTTTAACGTAAATAATGACAACATATGAAATGGATTAAGTCCAACAATTACTTTAATATATTTTCTGTTTATACATTATTTTATAGATATAATTTATTTAAGTAAATGCTTTGTTTTTTTTTTTTAATTAAACAGCATGAATTACATTTACTGGCCTAAATGTTCAAGAAATTTTGTAGAAATTGTCTGACTTAATCCATTTCATAATATGTTGCCATTGTTTACATTAAGATATATTTCAAGAGCAGATATATTTCATCATGAAAAAAAAAAATCACTGAAGGTGTGTGTTTATAAACAGAAATTCAGACTTTGCCAACCAGACACTTCTTTGTGGCTGAAGGGTTAACAGCACATCAGATCAAATGAGGTTTCCCATTAAGAGTTACAAGTTTTATTCCTCTCAGAGAAGCACATATTTTCTATTAAATTTCTTGAATATTAAATAAATGTAATTAATACTGTTTAATTAAAAAACAGAGCATTTACTTAAATAAATTATATCTATAAAAATAACATAGAAACAAAATAATTTATATATATATATATATATATATATATATATATATATATGAAAAGTGAATATAAATATAAATAAATATATATATATATGTATAATTATTTATATATTATATCTTGTGTACTTTATTAGAAAGCGCTCAATATCAGAGATAGAGCTAACATATTTGGTTGGATAGATGTGAGTTTGTGACCCTGGGTTTCACGCTTTAGCGATCGTCAGAGTTTGTCTGACGATCGCTAAAGCTGAAACCCAGGGTCACAAACTCACATCTATCCAACCAATATATATATATATATATATATATATATATATATATATATATATACACACACTTTTTTTGGGGATTTGAAGGTCTGATGAATTGGGGTCTTTTTTAAGACCCTAACAAAATAAATATAACCTCATGAAATTTTAAGTGTTCGGGATTATCATTACTACTACTAATATTATTATTATAATTATGTATATAAAATAAAAGCCAAGAGGTGTGCATTATGGGAATGTATAAAATGAAATGAGAATTAACAAAAATACTCACTTTTTTACAGTAGGAAGAATATTCAAAAATGGAGATAGCAAAATAACTGCAGTATCTGAACTGAGCTAAAAAATAAAAATTAAGCATTTTTTTTTTTAAATTATTGCAAAGCTTAACACAAAAGATTCCTATTTGGGGAGAATGACTGCTTGCAAAAAATTCAGCCAAAAAAAAAAAAAAAAAAAAAGTAAATTTCTCTTGCTATATAAACCTGTTAAATGTATTTCAACCTTTAATTCCATATTAGCCCTCCTTGTGAAAAAAAATTTTTATATCTAGATTCAATAACTAATTTCTCTCCTGTGTGAGAATTTTTGAGATGAGAAAACATTTTTATATGCTTTGTAATTCATACCAGCATGTTCACCTTTGCAGTTACATTTCAGCCACTGTACCCTCTGGTATTTTTCATACTTATTAATCCCGGAATTTCAAACAAAACCCTTCATTTAATCCATGGAGGCAGATTGTTCTCATTCTGCTTTCCATACTTAGGAGAGATTTTAACCCTTTAACTCCCATTGATTGAATAATGGATTTAGTTTGCAATTTCAAGGAGGTCACAAAGACAGCCAAAGAAGGTTGAAGAGTACAACAGCCAAAATGTAAGGATAACAGCCAAGTATGCTGATCCAAAATGCAACCTAAGTAATTTGAACAAGAATAACAAGTAGATGTGTATATACATTTTTCTTTTCATTAAATAAAGTTGAAACCTTTGCATTTTATTAAAATAACGTCTTATCTCTGAAATTAAATACTAAATTATAAAAAGTGGTACGAACCAGTCATCATAACCAAATGTCAAAGGCTCCAAAAATACACCAATAATGTCCTCGAGGCATAGTGGATATAGTTCATTATTAGTGTTATATCAGCTAGTCATAAGTTTAATCCCTGGATCAGGTAGCGAAGCACTGATTCAGTAGGAATCACAGGGACAAAATATCACTGATCAACAGATATCTCAGTGAACCCCTAATGATTATCAAAGGGTACTTTATCAAAACATTGTTCATATAATAACATCTATGTCAGTCAAGATGAGAAAATAATTTTAAAAAATGCAAATATATGGATAATGAAATACTAAACTAGTACAATATCTGTAAAAAAATAACTATTGTTTACACATGAATTCTAATCAAGTACTGGAAGTAGGTGACCTCTTCAGCTTTGTGCTTATAGCCAGAATTTAAAACTTATAAAAAATAACATTTAGAGTGATAAAAATCTGCCAGATTAATAAAAAAATATCCATTTTAAGATTCTCTTTGTTTACGTTTGTATACAAAACTGTGCAGATATGAAAAATTTCAGGAAATCTATGACAAGTTTTGCTTAAAAGGTATAAATTTGGCCTTTCCTGACTGTTGTTCTTCATAGCTCAGTTGGTTAGAGCACAACTGGTCTAACAGTAGTTCCCCTCTCCCCTGTTGAATGCAGGTTTGAATCCTGCCGGATAGGGCAAATTTTTCTTTAATTTCTCAAACATTCGTTCATCAGTTGAATATAAAATAATTAGGATATTGAAGGCACTTAAAAGTATTTTAAAAATAATAATTTATCTAAGTTTAACATAAAATTTGTTACAACTACTACTAAAACAATAAAAGAATACAAAACAAAATAATAAGCTAAAACTTGAAGGATGCATTTACTCTATGACCTGTAATAAGGTGAAATCTCAAGGAATTTAAATAAAAAGTTATATGAACAGATATTTTTTTTACAAAACAATACATTTAATGCATTATTTGCTCAGCATAAGTCTTAATTAAAAAAAAAATGCTACTGTAATTAAAGGAGAAGGCAATTTAGAACGATGAAAATGTATAGAAAGTGCTTTAATCACTAAATCATCCACAGTAAATTTTTGTTCAGATCCTTACAATTCACCTTTCATGGCAGAACTTCTATTATCACAATGTGGGATACTTAAAATAAACTAAATGAAATTGGCTAGATTATATACCTAAATCCATCTTTAAGAAGAAAAAAAAAATTAATCTAAATTTAAAACTTTCAGATCTCAGCATCCCCCTCCCCTTTGTGCACATGTGTAGTTACATCAACAAATATATCAATTTAGTTGAAGTCTGAGGATGAAATGCACCATAAAAAATTCATAACATTGTTCCAATATATAAAAATTTATATACCATTTTCTTCTCTCTATATATGTTTTATATATTATACATATAAACACAAGCATTGTAATAATAGTCAAATAAATTGGCATTTCCACTTAGGATCAGAGTATCTGTGCACACGGATCTCTGCCTAAGATCAGTGTTGCTTCTTCCCAATGAAGTGAATTACACACACAAAATATACCATGTGTAACATTTTAAAATACATCTTTCATGAGAGATAAATGGAAGCTGACTTAACAATGTTACACAGCATGCATCAAGTTTTAACATCAAGAGCATTAATGCAGCAGCTTCTATTCTGATAAGAAATTTAAAAGCAGACAGGGATCAAGATATAAGCCATCAACCACAGCAAATTGAAGATTAGAGGTAGTCAGTTTCTTGAAAGTGGCAAGGTGAATAAAGGAGAATAACATGTGGCTCTCCATTGACTCCATGGAGATACACACCATATTCTAGTAGTCTTTGGTGGTCCTGGTAATAATAAGGTCCATGCCATGTTTCTCCATTTCTACCAGCAAAGCCTCAGGGACAATACCACTGTTTACATCAAAATACTGAATGTGTGGTCAGACATTCTGGTAAGACTCTTCTTTCTTCTCCTGATTTGAATTACCTGGACTATAATCATCTAGAGTAGCATTTCTCAAACTTTTTACCCTTATGGAACCCTTGAAATAATTTTTGCGTCTCAGGAAACCCTGCATTAAAATTATAATATGCCATTATTAATATCTATCCCTTTTATATTTTTATCAAAGTTCATGTGGTAAACATAATATATGGACACCATGAATGCATCCTGTATTCAAGTGAGTCACTCAATCATACACAAAAACAACATGTACATTTCCTGTCCACTAACCAATGAAGGCGGTTTTACACTGATGTCATATAAACACTGCTAAATACATTCCCTATGATTATTATAATAACCAGTATTTTCCAAAAATATGCTATATGTGTATAGTAAAATTATGAGTAAAAATTAGTCAAAAATGCATTAGCCTATTTATTACCGTTTCTTGTGGAACCCTAGGGTTCCAGGAAACACTAAAAAATACTTGTCTGGGGCATCATCAAGAGGGAAACCAACCAGAAGCTACACAAAACCAAAAACACTAAACATAAAAGAGAACAACTTTATCCAGTGTTGCAGTTGCTACTGAGCCTGCATAATGACCTGAGAGCAGTTTTATTGCATTACCTTTTTCTGGTTTTTCAAGTAAAACATGTACAATTAAAAACAAATTTGCTGCATTTCCATATTAAATAACTTTGTTTTTTGTCATAATTTATTTTCATTTACCTGTATACAAATACACATTGCATTTTAAATGTGGATAATGATATCGTCATATACATACATAGACACATACCATTTGTTTATGCTGTGTGTGTGCGTATGGAGATTGTACACAATGCTATATACAAAAATTTCATAAGGAAAACAACTGACAAATTTCAGAAGCTAAATAACTGCTATTAATCATAAGTGTTTAAAAAAAAAAAAATCTACGTTAAAAATGTAGTTACCTCCCTTTGTCAGATCTTCCTGTCTAAAACTAAACAGACGAAATATATGGCAATGTCATACAACAGTGCATGCATTGTTTGTGTGCAGAATACATATGGGATAGCATTTTTTTGTTTTTCTTCAGAAAACTGGAACCTTTGAGTTCACTCTCCGACAGTTGTTTACATTGTGGTACTATTAATCTCTAACTGCTATTAGCAGCAGTGTCAATGTTCCAAACTCTTCTCTCAACCAGTTCAGGTAAAAATTTGATAACTAACCAAACCAAAACATCAAAATCAAAGAGTGCTATTCAAAGGATTTTGTTGTTTTTCTTGTGTGTGCTGGATAATTATCTTGTGGAAAAAAAATCTGTTGCTTTTTATTTGCAACATAAAATTTATCCAGGCTTAGCATCAATCCTTTTTGAGTACTCCTTTGCATTAATGATCATTTTAGATTGTAATCCAAAGCCAGGTGCAGAAAATAATGACCCTCCCGACCATAATCTTACCATCACTATGATAGGCAGATATTCTGAGTTCAATCTTTCACCTAACTCTTGAAACACTGTGCTGGAGAATTAGCAGACACTTCCAACCATAGCTCATCACTCCAGAGAACATATTTAAACCATTGGGCATAATAGTAGTCAGTCAGTCAGTCATGTGCCATACATGATACATGCTTAAGCAATCATGTATCTTTCGATACATGGCTGACAAGGCAGATTTTTTTCCCTGCAGTAGGTTGCCATTTCTTTCTGCAGTAGACCGGTTGCCATCCAAGGCTATAGAACCTGGTGTGTCCTGTTATTTACCCATAGCTGGGGAGAAAAGAAGAGGATTCATATCTTTCTCAAGGATATTAGCACATAAGTGAATGTAATGGATCCAACTGGAATTCAAACTCAGCTCTCCAATCCCCCAATCCAAGCTGCTATTTATTACTCCATCATGCCTCCCCTGAGTGACACAAATTTGTATCAGTTACCTACAATCTTTATGTGGAGCAAGGATACCTTTGCACATTGACGAAAAATCATTCTGCTTTCTTGAAATTGTTCTTGAAACTACCATTTTTTGAATTTCTGAATTTTTATGCCAATTTTGTTAGTGTTTTTATGTTTCAGAAGTTATCTTAAACCTTGTTACCTTGCTTCCAGAATCTGCTTACTATATATATATATATATATATATATATGTATAAAAAAAACGGGTTCTTGACATGTATGAACAATTCTCTTTATTGTAGACAGTATATTCTGAATATCCACAAACTAAGTTTCTGAATATCCAATTAAAACTTTCCAGCTCGACAAAGAACAGCAATGTAGTCATTAACTTTAACAGTTATGTGAAATTTTGAAACAAAAATGAGTTTCACGCTTTAGGGAGAATGTGACAATACACAGAAATGGCAGATACCTCAAAAATATCTAAATTGCCAGCTGCTTTCTCAGATCAATAATTAAAAATGATTTCAAGCAGATTGAAGACCATGCTTCTTCAAACCTCTTTGAACTGGTGCCATAAAAATCAAAGAATTTTAATAAGTTTTGTTTTAATGTTTTTTTTTTTTACTTTTAAACTGTCTCCAAAATTCATATTAGCAAAAGTAATTACAATCAAGGGTTTTTTGTAATAATTATTTTTTGTATTACAAAAAAGAAAATAGGTATTACCTCATTATCAACCACTTTTCCTAATTCTGCAATAAAAATGTCTATAAGATGCATCTTAAGACCAGCTGGTAAATTAGAGTTGGTACAATTCAAGACACTTCCTTCTATGATGTCACTTAGTTTTTGGCACACGTTTTCTTTCCATTGACAATTTTTCAAGAAGAGAAAGGAATTATGAAGAAATTCACGAACAAGCTGTCAAAAGAAGAAAGAGATAACTGTTAAGTTATTAATTTCATTGTTATAAAAATGATTAATAAAATAATGAAATTAAAGACAATATGGAATTTCATCATCATCACAAAGATAACTTCTTCAGATCATAAAATCAAAAACCCTGAAAATATTTAACATTTTCACTGCTGCATTGTTTTAGCTTTGTTGCCTGGATTTGCTGGCCCATTTTTGGAAAAAAAAAGAAAAGAAATTGGCATCTATTGTAAATGACTATAAAAGATGCTGATGACAATTTCTCATGAGCACCACCATTTTAGTTTCCATCAGATACTCTACAGTACAGACTAAGCTAAATAACACACTCCAAGAAAAAAAAATTGTTTGTATTGTATGCTATTATATGTCTACCCTGGACCAGAAATAGCACTAAGTGCTAGTTCATTTATAATGCAAGTGATAAAAGACTGACATTTCATAATATCTTGAAAACATATATATACATTAACAGCAGGCAAGGACACCTCAATTATGGTGTAATGTTTAGCAAGCCTGTCTCACTGGAAAAATTACAACTAAGTACTGACTTTGATCCTCACTTGGTGCTCCATACTTTCGGCTTTGTGCCACCTCTAAGCTACGCTTAGAAAATGTCGAAAATTCCTTTTGATTATTAGTAGCTAGAAGCTGGTCCGGCACAGTAAGTGTTGCAAAACATTTCCTATCTCACAACCCAAATCCAAACAGGTCAGTCAACTATGTGAGAAGAAGAGAGCTTGCAGAACGACTGTTCTCATAAGTTCCTCTCACAAAGGAAAAGTGGAGACGGGAGGGAAGGCAGGCCTTAAGTAACAAGGTGGCAGACCTGCACATTCCACCCCTTCCGGTAAAACGATTACAAAAATGAGAGCTTGGAGTAGTCTCGCTTTGGAAAACCAGCATGACAAACACTCCATCTCCCACGGTTGATCACAAACCACACAGGTAATTTCACTTATTTTTCCACAAGAATCAGCAACAGCAGCAAACAATGTAAGTTTTATAAAGATGTACATCTACAGAAGTAGAAATGCTAAGGAATTTTAGCTGGCATATCATGTTTATACAAAATGTTTAAATTCAGTATGACATTGATATAAAATGAATCAAAGACTAAACATTTGGATGTTTAAAAAAATAACCATTTGAATTTTGGTACAAATAAACATACTTGAAATTTACTAACCATCATGAATTTGTTTATTCTCCACTGATCCAAGCCAAACCATTCACGTGCTTCTGTGTCAAAGAAAGCTTTTATAAACATCAGTGTATATGTTTCATTAGGGAAGTCATGCACAAGCTGACATATGTCATCCACCAATTTTTCCTGTAATAAAATAACAGCAAGTAATGGGTTGACAATCAAAATAATAAAATTTTGGGGGTCTAGATTATATATAGAGATAGATTTCTGCTGATTGACTTCACATATCTTAACTTAATCTTATCAATTCTTACCATAAACCACACACCCCCAAATGTACATCAAAATTACTTCGTGTCAAATTTTCCCCTGTTTAGTGATACATAAATAACTATATATTCACAGTCAATCATCTTTTAATAAAAAGAAAATAAGTTAGATTAGTTAACACCTAACTTCTTTAGCTTACAAGTATACTGTCAATAAAGGATTCTTGATGTAATTATTGTTTTTGTTTCTTTAGCATTTTATCAAGATACATTTATATAAAATTTAAAAGTTAGCACAAAATGGCTTTTGCCATAATTAAAAATGATGAATGTGTTCTCACAAAAATGAGTAGCAGCACTACTGCAAAGAGGTCATTTTTCTTTTAATAAAAATATATTCCTTAAAAGATAAAATGAGCTTAGCTTGTGTGTGTGTGTGAGTGACAAAAGGAAAACTTCTTTATCCATATGTTTTGTTCTCTGGACTTTATCAAGCACTTTTGCCTTGATAAACTCCAAGGACGAAACATCTTGGTAAAGGAAAATTTTCCTTTTGTCTTTATTCAGTCTTTTTACAGAACAATTTTTTTTTATATCTGAATTTTTGTGCACACACACACACATTATATATATATATATATATATATATATATATATATATATATATATATATATGGTTTAAGAAAAAAGTCCATGGAAGCAATAAATGTCAAGAAAAGTTGTATTAACAAAAAAGGATTTGAAGGCAAGATTTAATTGGACAAAAAAGTGCAAACTATAAGACACATTAGGTGTGTGCAAAAAAAATGTACTAGTGCCATTTTGAAAACCAGACTGAATAAACAACTGAAAACCAATTTTCTGGAAACTTTTGCACACACCTAAGAAAAATTAAAAAAAAAAGACTTCAGTAATGACACCTGAGTGAACTTGCATTTTCATGAATAAGAAATCTTCAAGAAAAAGTGATGCATTTTTTATATTAATATTCACCCAATACAAGGGCTCAAGAGCCACTCAAAGTAGAGGGTTAGCAAATGTGGTGTGCGATATGAAAGTAAGTGTAGAAAGCGAAGATAAAGAAAGTTGATTGAAATAGATGTTAGCTTAGTGTCAAATGCATTCAGTTGTTAAAGCACCATCTGATACCAAACTTGGAAGGAGGTGAGATTTTTCAGTTTGATGGTGCTCCATGCCAATTTAAAGTATGTGCCATCATGTTGGAAGATTGACTAGCTCAGAGTCTGAATTTCATCACAAGCTAAGGAAAACTATACAAAATATTACCTGTGTATACTAAATGAGACACAAAGTTTTTTATATTAAACTTTCATAAAAATACTCTTTTACTTTAAAACAATGGATTTAACTTGGCTGTGAGGTGACCAAGAACTTTTGTACAGCCATTTATGAGTATCATGTTAAATTTTATTTCCTCGAGGAAAATGTAAGTTGTAAAATCTGATAACAAAATTAACCCACAAAAGGTCAGTGATATGACTGTAAAAACCAGGATTCGAAATGTCTGATCATAAACTGATAATCTATAAAGAACTTTACTGTTAATGTTACCAAATATAGTACTGTATACATCAGGAGACACAAAACTTTTTATACTATCAACCCCTTCATGGAATTGTTGATCCCGCATGAATCACAAGGCATGTAAAAAAATACTTATTTCCTTTTTATTTAGGGGGTAGAAATTCCTTTGATTTTTCCTTCATTATTATTTCTAAACACGGTTCATTTTAGTTCTATATTTTGTTATTCTTTCAATTCCTATTTCTCCTCTTATACGAAACATGTTTGTTCGAATATTAATGAGAAAAAGTTCATAAATAATATACATATTAATAAACACATAAAAAATAAATATACCTTTTTTATTGAATTGATCAACATCATTAATGGGAAGTAGATGTTTAATGAGCAGAGCAAAGATATTGCTGTTTGGTTGGAAATTGGAGAATTGGTTGGCAAATTTATTTATGAACTTTATTAGAAACTCCTATTCCATACATTTATTGAACAAGAGGATGACATTTTTCTCAAAGCCAGTAAGATATTAGTTAATAAGTTAAGATTATACTATATCTTGCTCAGAAGGGAACTATACAGACAGAATATAAATATTCAATTTCATAAGTTTATGGGTTCAATCTAAATTTATAAATTGATGAAAAACTATAAACAAGTTGTTGACAACTTCTTGAAATAAAGAGTCTATGCTATTTGAATAATTAAATAATAGAAATAAAGGAAAAGAAATGTAATGCAGATCAACATCAATAATTTATATTTTTTTAATGTGACAAGACAAAAAAAAAAAAAAAACTTGTCATCAAAATGCATCTGGACACAGAACTATACAAGTATCTAAACTTGTATAAGCAGATTACATATAAAAGAAAGCAGACCTGCATATCTATGAAAATATAATGTGAGTATCTAGAGTAATAAATGAAATGAACATTTCAAGTTTAATATTAGTGTGTCATTTTTAAGAAAATTAGGAGTTGAAGGAGCAAAAAACTGAAATGGATAAAATACATCATCAATAATTTACAACCTCATATACCAAACTATCTAAAACTTTTTAAAAAGAAAAGGTAATAAAAAACTGTATATTAAAAAATAGAGTTAAAAATAAGCAAAGAAAATCATTATATGCTTCTTATGAACAAAATTATGAAAGGTATTTTTGTTTGTGTTTTGTAAGGAGTCAGACTTCAATTATACATTTTTAGTTTCTTTAGGAACACAAATTAGAAGGCTGACAAAAAATGTTTTACCTGAATGAGTGGTTTGTCTTGCATCCATAGTTGGTAATGCATCCCTTTCCATAGTTTAATAAACTCATCTTCATTTAATTGTTCTGGAAAAAACAGAAAAATATTATGAAATAAAATGTTTACTGTTATAAATAATCAAATTTGATAATAATTTTGGTCTTTAATGAGAAAACAACTGTAGATCAATAATTAAATGCAGAAATAGACAATCCTGAAACTAAAACACATTTAGGACAAACGAAAACTAATTGCTCTGTTGTGCCTGCAGCTTTGCAGTTAGCTTATATCGAATTCATTTCTAGCAAATTAACTGGTATTATGAATTAATTATGCTTGTTACTGTTCTCAGATGTATTTAAGCATGAAAAGTTCTAGGGTGACAAAGTAGCATCTTTTTTAGTGTATCCTGACTACTATAGTGGATTTTGTGACATCTGTTAAAAGAGTGATATCTCCAAAATGGCATTTATACAAGTAAATATTTATTAAGCTTGCTTATCTTAATACAAGTATAAATCACCTAGTAAGGATGTAACTCTCTACACAGTAACTATGATCTACTCAATCGGTTCACAACAAGATTCCCAAGTTAGATTCTATATAGATGATTATTACCTCTTGTGTTCAAACACTGTAGGCCAAAAAAAAACCCCCAAAAAACACTGTTTTAAAGAGGCGACATGGATTTTATAGCAGGATTATCCAATCAGGATACCAACTAACATACTTGCATTATGTTCTCAGATTGGATATGCTGTTTTGGAGTTTTGATAGCAAACTTTAAGAAGTTACATATTAAGAAATCAGTTTCCTTTCAATTTAATTTTTTTTTAAAGCTCACACTGAAATTAAAAAGCCTATTTACAGTGAGTAACCGATAAATTACTAATACTCAAACTCAATCCAATAATATACATCGCAAAAATGCAGTGGGGTTTCGTTTATCATCAGTGAATGCTTGCTTTCAGCATCATCCTATCTCACCTTGCTGACTACCAACTACTTTCTTCCAACCAAAGTTATCAAAAGGTTTATTAATGGAATCATAATTCTCACCTTGGTCTTCTAATTAGATTTTTTAAACATGAATTCACTGATGACACTTAACAACACTAACACACTCAACAAATCCAAATTGCAATGAACAACTTAAAAAGTCCATAACAACACGAGTCATGAATTTTTTTAGTAAATAGATAAAAATTAAGTCAATTTGCTTTAAAATTGAACACTTGTACGTATGTAGTAAAAACTAAACAAAACGAGAAAAAAGGCGACGTTGCTATTTTTTTTTTTTTTTTACACAAAAAAAATAAAAAAATACCAACAAACATTCATTAAATGGAAAAAAGTAAAAGAAAATATCACGTTAATTTTCAGTTTGCATTGAAGAAAATAATTTCAAAATCAATAACAAAACAAAGTCTAAGAATCATTAGTAATTGAAAGCTACAAAAACAAAATATTTCTCACCCACTACGCAAGGAATGCGTGATAGGATGTTCGTGTTTCAGGACAGTCAACTAGAGCAGTGTAGATACAGTATTTTAATTAGGTTGTTTGCTCTAAAGGACAAAACAGGGTTGATAACGGAAAATAATGTATTGTAGGTATGACTTTTGCTAGCCATGTGAATTAACTCTAATTTCTTTCTCTTTAAGTTTTTTAAAACTATTTTTTGTGGATAAGGTTTCTCGTTCTCCAGTCAAGATTTCATTATTACCGATAACTAAACTTGAAACAATAGTCCATTCTTCGTACTTTTACGATGTGAAATTTGATATTTAAATAAATTAATTTGTATATCATTCTCATATCTAGAAAAAGTTAATTAAATGAATTTATTTTTAAAATATCCAATAAAGAAAAGATTTCAAACCTTGTCTACATACAAAAAATAAAACTAGTTCCTGCTATATTATAAATCTTGTAAAACGGACGTACAGGTTTGTTTAAGGGTAAATTATTTTGTTTAATTGCAATCAGATAAAAATCAAGTACTATAAGAAGACTAGAAAAGTAAAACAAGCCAGTGTTCATTTCGATTATTCGCGGTAGAGAAGTTAAAAACTGCTGACCACGTGTATACGTTCAGAAGTCTGACTGAAGCAAGCGATCAAAGAAAAACAACATTTACAAAAGTAAAATCTACCTTTTAATCGAGGTAGCCGCAAGCGGATAAACTTTTTCAACAGGGTGAGAGTTTTATCGCGATTTTTCTGTTCGTTGCCGGCTAAACCTTGTGCAAATTGTATTTCAATAGGAATCTTCTGAGTGAGAGTCATCTTGACGCACTCGAATTACACAGATGAAGAAAGTTGAATTGATCGTCAATTACTAAGCCGCGTCATCCTTTTAAGCAGAGGGGTGTAAAATTGTACAATTTCAAGTAAATTTAACTCTTTTGAAGTTCAAATAATTTTATTAATATAAAGAAGCCAGTGTTAAACACAAATACTGAGTTTTGTCTTTTTTATATTATTCTTATACGAAACTAACATACATAGTATTACACATAGTAATCATAATCGAATAAGTCACTGATTGAATTTGTGTAAAAAAATGAATGAATGAATTTAAACGTTCGTGTTTAACACTGTAAAAAGGGAGTGAAATTCTGCCGGGCGGAGTATGATAAAAAGACCAATATTTGCTTTATTACATAAAAGGAAACTTTTGATTATTTGGATAAATGAAGTAAAAAATGGAAAAAAAAAAAAAAGGAAATGAAAACAAGTTTATAAAGAAAAAGGTTTTATTAAAAACAGATTTCGATAATATACTCAAACTTTAATTATGCCTCAAAGCATAATTAGAAACAGAAAAATACTAAAAGACAAAAAAAAGAGTATTGAACTGTTAATCAGTCTTATGGCAGTGAATGCTGAAAAATCATCACGGATGAAGAAAAGTAAAACTAAAAGAAATGCGGTACTAAACTAAGGATGCTGAAATTGCCATGGATGAAACATGTGAGCAACAACGAAGTTTTAGAGAAAATGGAAGCGAAAAAGGCATTTATACTTTATATAGACAGTTGATCTTTCTAAGACATAATGAAGAAAGACGACTTGAAAAATGTAAATGTAATACTCCCAGATTTGGCAAGAGGGACAGAGGAAAACAGTGCATTCTCTACCGAGAGAGCTTGAGTAGATGATGGGACAAGGTTCAAGAAAGATAACAACAACAAAAAAAAAATTATTAAGAGCTACAAAAGACGGGAAATAGTGGCGAACCATGATCACCAACGTCTTGAAGGGACATATTTTTTTACAGTGACGTTTACCGTGTACAAGGCTCGAGGGTCCCTTGAGGTAGAGGGTTACAGGGTGGTAGAAGTATAGCTTATGCAGATATATCTGGAAGATAACGGTTAACCCTAGACTTGAACAGGTTATTGTAATGATCGGTGAAGCAACCTCTCAAGAGCCGGTTCCACAAAAAGCAGTAGTTCATGGGAAGAAGCTGCTTGAGTGGAATTTTTACATCTCACCAAGGGAATACGAAGGAAATGAGGGTGGTTCGCTGCAATGTGCGTGGCGGAGTATAAGAAGTGTGACGTGTAGTTGGCGATTTTTTCGTTCTTGTAAAACGATTTTAATTTTAAAATTTCAACAAGAAAAATGAATGTAAATTTAAAATTTTCCTTGATCATTCTGTTTTTCTAGTTGCGTTTTTCAAAATCACAATAAAAATCCCTGAAGAAATTAGCGTAATTAATGACTAGTGTAGTGTCACATTGGTTCGTTGAAAACGAGTGTAACAAAATACAAAAGGAAAAAATAATTTTCTACACAGACTGAGTTGTCAAAAAAATGAGAAACAACACTACACTGGGTGTTTTCACCCTTCCTCACTTGTAGTAACAGACTCAGCCGGATGTCGCCCGTGTGACGTAATACGTAAGGTACAGTGGACAGGATGAGCTGGGGCAAGAAATATAGGGCACTATATCCGGAATGAAAACGGGGCTCTGCTCTTTTTTCATGGCAGCAAAAAACTATACTAGAAAAATGTGAAATCCGGACAGATAGCAGCACGTGAAAAGTGCTGGCGACCACCAATGATACAAGATAATGGAATCGACGAACTGTCTGAAAAAAGGGAATGCTGCATCAAATCGCATTCAACGCTGATATCATTCAACCTAAAGAGAATGCACATTAGTGATAGAGAAAATTACAGAGAAAGAATACTAAATGGGTGAATGAAGATATGCACATCGTGATGTCCTTATTCGTGCGTACGTGTGCGCAAAGTTCCTGTGAAATTGAAAAAAAATATATATTTGAGAAGAGTTCTTTGTTGGTTTGGTAGAATTATTAAATAATTCTGTGTGTAGTCAAGTAAGCTTAGGGCATTTGTAAGTTATGTAATTTCTGTATTGCGTTCAATGCAAAATGAGTTTTCACTGGAGACTGAAAATTACTCGATTTTAAGGCAGTCATCGGTAAACTGCACCCGCGGCCCACATGCGCCCGTTTGGTCTTAATTTCACAAACAAAATAACACTTCTTAAAATTTTGTTTTGTTTCGTTCTCACTTATTCACTCGCACACTCTCTCATACATAACCACATATAGAAACAATGATTTAGTACAATGTTTCTTGAATTTTGTATCAGCAGAAGTTCTTTAGCAGACAAGTAGAGTAATCCCACATACTGCATTTTATGGGGTTTCGTAATTATCGACCAAGAAAAGTATCGTTGTTGATGTGTCTGTCCTGGATTACAGATAAACGCCATTAAACCATGACAGAGTCATTTGATCAAACGAGTCACCTTTCTAGTGTTTTGGGGCAAACGGTCATGTGTAGATGTGGAGGAGACCTCATAAGGCAGGGGATTCAGCTTTTCAGCAAGGTGATAGCGCTGTAATGGCGTGAGATGCGTTCTTTTGGGATTCGCAATAACCACGAGTGAAACCGGAATCTGTTTTGAGAAGTGTGACGTACTCAAATGTAGTTGCAGACTATCTGCAACTATTTATGTTCGTCAGGTTTTCCTGGTAGTGATGGTTTGTTCTAGTATATAATTAATATGTAGTTAGATACAATTTTTGCCCCCACAATTACATTAGTGTAGCGAGGGAAAAATGAAAGCAACAGCATCATTGCGCATTCAGCCTTTATCACTTTGTATATGTTTATTTCTAATGTTTTCTTGATTATGTTAAATAAATATTTCTCTCGCGCCCTATATTCTGTGATTTTGTGGGAGATATTCGTTAGGATGTCAAGTCAAACTTAAACTAACACCTCTAACGTGTACTGATGACACGACAACTAATCCAAGAACACTCATCTGACTTTCAAGTAGTCAGTTGGCTCTGCGTCTGTCAGATTGAGACCCAATGTATGAGATATATTGAAACTCTCAGTAAACTCTTTGCAACCACAACAAATATAATAAAGTTATGGACAGCTCTGAAACATGCCTATATATATATATATATATATATATTATATATATATATATATATATACAGCTCATCAATGTGGCTAGACGTCTGGATGCCTCTAGTTAGGATCGAAACCCGGCTGAATTGGCGTCAGTCGGAGATTCTACCCCTAAACCGTTAGCGCACTGCAGGGATGAAGGGAATTTTAAGCGTATTTAATTTTAAATAAACACACAGTGACTGAGAGAAATCGATTCGCTTTACCGAAGAGTCTTGCATATATATATATATATATATATATATATATATATATATATATATATATATATATATATATATATATATAAACTCACGCGACGACTCCAGCATTTCATAAACTCCATGCCTCCTCGTATAGCCGCTGTTATTCAGTTGAGAGGAGGACTTACAGGTTTTTGGGCACTTTAGTCTGACACAAAGCCAAATTGGGTGGAGGTTAAGACAAAGCGATTCTAAGAATTGTAGGTATCGCCTTGGGGTAGGAAAATAGTGTGTTGCCTTTGTTATAAAATAAAATAAGACATATCTCGGCTGATTTACAGGCAAATACTTAAGAGCGAGAACCGGATGTGAACGAGACAAAGCCCCGTCACAAAATGACCATTAACTTTCTTTACAAATGTTCCCGACACACGTGTTCCGGTCGAAAAAATGAAATAATATTTAAAGGGCTCTATATTTCGTCCAATAAAAATGCTTTCCTCCTAATTATACCCGCTTCATTTCTCGAGCCTGTTAAGCCATAAAAATCGCTATAAAAGGGGTCACACGGAAGTTCAACGGCAGTCCACAGGCGCCCAGGATAGAGACCTGTCACGTCCAGCTGCTGACAGCAGGGGAGCGTCAACCACCGTCAACATGTGTGAACTACTATGAGAGGTCGACCTAGATCAGAAACCGGTTTATGAACTTTACCACAAGGTAGCTGTTCCAAACCAACACGCTCCTGTTGAAATAAACCACGTAAATCTATTTCTACTGTTGTCGTATTTCTTTCTTGCAACCATACGCTTGTCTATAACACCTTAATGATCCAAATAAGCAAAGTTTACGTGTCCGCTTTGAAAAATCCGGTTAGACGAGAGTCCGCAAAGTGGTCGGTATTGATCCCTGCGGGTCGATGAGACTATCCAGGAGGTTAATAAATGCCTGGTTTTCAAAAGGGGGTCGACTAATACCTAATCTTGAAATAGACTTTTGGTGGGAATTAAAGAAAAAGAAATTACCAGTAATAGTATAAGTAAAGGATAATATATGTAAGGCACAACAATTGTTTGCGAACCTTAAAATTAATAATCCCAGTGGAATTGATACTACAGTGCCGAATTTTCATGCTTCAAAAGGCTAGTTTATTAGACTCTGGAAAAGACCCGAATTACATCGTGTTGCTATGGTGAGACTGCTAGTGGAGATTCACTAACTTTTGTATGCCTCGCATATGTTCGAAATATGTTGAGAAATAGGCCTTATTGAGTTGAGACTTTCAGATATTTGTAGTTGGATGAAAGTTGTAAAGAGTCAAGTTATACATCAATCTATTATAAATAACAAATTTATTTACCAACGCATTATTTTTTGTTGTTTTTATTTATTTATTTATTATTAGATTTTAAACTGTTCCATAAAGTGAAATATAGTGTTAAAGTTCGTTTGGTAATGTTCTTTGAGGTGTAAAAAAGAAAAATATTTTAGTATGAATTCAACTTGTAGAATTAAAGTCGTTGCAATCAGATAATTTCAAAATAGGGCGAGTTTGTGAGATGTTTTGAAAGTAGTAAAGAGAAGTAGTGTACGAAAGAAGTTGAGAAAAAAGCTTACAAAATTTTCCTTTTTCATCAAAT